CATGTCCTTGCTCATGCAAAAGACAAATCTCAAAAAGATCAAGCGAAGCTCGAGATATGAATGAAGACGTCTTCATGATTCTCAACCACGGGCAATAGGGTTTTGAATCTCCGAATTAGGGAAGTTCGACCTTAAAGCATTGTGGAGAGGCGCTTCGTTGTTTTCTTTCCATTTTGAAACTCTGAGAAGAAGAAGCGACTTATTTCCAGGCTTTACACGGGCTTTTCGCTGCTTTCTACCCCTCGTCTTAATTGTTTGAGGAAGATGGCCAATGGAAAGGAGGAATACAATGAGCAGGAGGAGCTCCTCGACTATGAGGAGGAGGAGGAAGCAGTGCCTGATGCAGCAGCTCCTAAGGGCACAGAGGCGGTAAAAAAGTGAGTGCTGGATATCTTCTTCTGCATGGAAGCATTCTGTAGCAACTTTCGAGAGTTTGTCGCGGATACACCCTGACGATGTGAAGGGAGCGCTTGCCTTTGTTGTTGTATGCCATCTTTGGTGCATGTGGAGGCGCTTGGTCTCTGGTAATGGTAATGTCACTTGTTCTGTATCTGTAGGAACTTATTATCACCTCTCCGAGCCTGGATGGCCTCTCAAATCAAGTTGCTTTTGCTCTGCAGAGGGTATGTGGGTATTCACAGCTCAGGGTTCCGGGACTTTCTCCTCAAGCCTGAGCTGCTCAGGGCTATCACGGATTGCGGGTTTGAACATCCATCAGAGGGTAAGCAGACAACCTTGCATTGATTCGTCATTCTTGCTTTCTGCAAGCTTACCTCTGTGATGCTTCTATGTAATCATGCTCAGTTCTTATTAGGGTCGCAGCTTTTTGGCTGCGCCTCTTATCTGAACCTCAAGTATCTGCTGACGCAGTGCTGTTTCTGGTAGTTGTTAAGTGGAATTTTCTCGTAGGTCCTTAGGGTTCAATTTTAAGCAACTATTGACAGCCATGCATTTGTTGCGTTTTGCAGTCCAACATGAGTGCATCCCTCAGGCTATCTTGGGAATGGATGTGCTCTGCCAGGCCAAGTCTGGTATGGGGAAGACTGCGGTCTTCGTGCTGGCCACCCTGCAGCAGATAGAGCCCGTGGCAGGACAGGTTGGAGCCCTCATTCTGGCACCAACTCGTGAGCTGGGTTTCCAGGTAAGCTCGACACTTCAGTACCAGCAAAAAGGTCTGGCCAAGCATATGTGCAGAGTGATCTCCTTGAAGAATGATCTGGAGATGGCCTCACAGATTGTGTGCTGAACGAGCGTCGCTGTTGTTTCTCCTGACAGTGCTGCACAACAAGGCTTGATCATCCTCACTGTACAGGAAGTGCTCGCTTGTTTTCTGTTCATTGACCACTCCAATTGTCCAGGCTTGTTTGCTGCTGCTTTTCCTCTTAGCTTTGTCGCTTCATGCAGGTTATCGTGATAGACTAGGTTAACAAATCTGCATTTGTTTGCTGCAGATCTGTCACGAGTATGAGCGCTTCTCCACCTACCTGCCGGATGTGAAGGTAGCAGTTTTCTATGGAGGGATCCCCATTACAGCCAACAAGAAGACTCTGAAGGACGAGCCGCCACATATTGTGGTGGGAACCCCCGGCCGTATCCTGGCGTTGGTCAAGAGCGGTGACCTCAACCTGAAGCAGACAAGGCACTTCATTCTGGACGAGTGCGACAAGATGCTGGAGGGCCTAGGTAAGTGACAGCAACAACAGGTCATTCAATACTCGGTCTATTACTCGGACGTCACTGCACTGATAAGCAAAATGATGGTGACAGTAATTTTGACTATTTGGTCTGTGCGTGTATGTTGCTTTGCTCAACAGCGAGTTGACACTTGGCCTTCTCATTCGGAGCAAAGCACTGTGTTCTGATCAAAAAGTTTAGTCACCACGTCCGAAGCTCGTGGTAATAGCTCCCTGTCTTGACTGCTCTGCTCAGATTGTCATTTGCTGGTTCCATCCATGTGCTGGTTCCATCTTCTTAAAAGGCTCCTGGTTGATTCAAGTTGGTGTTGGACAGCGCGATTTTCCTGCTGGGAGTCAAAAGCGGTGCATCCATTGCAGCCTTCATTGCAGAAGCTTCCTTTATGCACTGTATTGCCTGCATCCACCTGCTCTTCTGAAGTGCTTGTTGTTAGGAACAGTCCAATTCTTTGAGAGGTTATAAAGCTATGGGGCTATGAGCAGTCTCGTTTTTAGAAGAGCCTCTTCCATTTGTTTTGTGATTGCTTACTTGAGCTGCACTGAGCGCTTCTGTTGTTGGTCTTGCAGACATGAGGAAGGACGTGCAGGACATCTTCAAGAGCACCCCCCACGACAAGCAGGTCATGATGTTTTCGGCGACGCTCAGCAAGGACATCCGGCCGGTCTGCAAGAAGTTCATGCAAGATGTAAAGACCGCACGCCCTGCCTCGCCCTCTTCCTACGGGTTCTTCCGCTGTCTCTGCTCGAGTGAAGAAGTGGGAACTCAACCGGTGGACCAGCGTTTTGTTCAAGTTTGCTAAGTGGGGAGCCGGTAAAGCTGCTAGGGGCAGCACTGTTTTCTCCATGCTTGTTCATCAAGGAGGCGACTGCACAGCGCCGTACGTCTACAGAAGGGGTCAACGGCCTGGGGTTGAAGGAGGGTTTTGAAGTTCTGTCACAAGTTAGTCGGCAAGCTCTTTCAGTTGTGGATCGGCAGCGGGTCCATGTCAGATGCGAGGTTGAAGGAAGCGGGCTTAGAGGACAGCCGGGTGAAACGGTTGGCTGTTAGCGGGAGCACGGTAGTAAAGAAGCGGGGTCCAGCCGATGCAAACGGTTACGGAAGCTCAGTTAGCCTGCATAGGAACCCAGCCTGCACGACGACGTCTGGGAGACTTCGCCTGTGCACTGCCAGAGCTGTTCCCGTTGTTAGTGGGGTTGAGGGTGGGAGGACAGCACAAGCGGAGCTGGCCTGTCGGGCGCTCGCACGCGGTCCAGCTGAGGGGGCTGGTGGTGCTGGTGTGAAGTGCACGCAGTCAATCTTCTCCCAGGCCTCCTGTAGTCTCTGTCCATCGTCAACTTGCATCAATTCTCGTTTCACCTTCAAAGTGCAAAATGCATTTCAAAAGTCCTGATTGTTTGGTGGACAGGCAGCATACTTGCTTATGGATCTGCAACTGAACTGCTTGGTCGTTGCTGATTGAAAGTGATCTGCTTGATTGAGCATATGCGGGTTTGCGTTTTACTTGCTTGCTGCTTTTGCTGCTTTGCTCTGCTCTTCCTTGCCAGTGGCAGCAAACGGGTGCATCTTCCAACCAAGCTGCAACGCTGATCGGGAGGCGAAACCCTTCAAGAACACAACTCTGGAAGCACCCCCGATCCCTGATGGGTTGAATTGGTCGGAGCCAAGTGGTCAACCAGCGAAGTTCTATCTCACGATCGGACAACTCGGCGGCGGACTCTATTGGAGCAACATGGTACAGAAAGCTTATTGTCGGTGGTCCATCCAATCTAATGCAGCCCATGGAGATCTACGTGGACGACGAGGCCAAGCTGACACTGCACGGCCTGGTTCAGGTATGTTTCTCAAATCTCGGGTTGGTCCCTTGAATGTTGGCACACGGGTCTGCACATAGTTGAGCAATCGCGTGATTAGGCTCCGCAAAGTCCGCAGCTCTTGAAAACTCGAGAACAAAACAGTCTAATTGTCAGGTTGTGGACTTTGTCCAGCTCGCTTCCTCAGAACTGCTTGGATCCGGTCATGTCAAAGCACTTGTTGACTGCGCTTTTGCATTCTGCTGCAACGCTCAGCTTTACGCTTGACAGTTGCCTGTCTCGTATAAAACTTAGTTTACCACCATTTGGCGTTGGCTTGCTCTCCACAGTACTCATTCACTTGGTTCATGTCCCGCAAGCTTATCCCAAGTCTCGCATTAGCAGGCTCTGATCCCTTCCCATCCTCGTTTTTTGCAGCACTACATCAAGCTGGAGGAGAAGGAGAAGAACCGCAAGCTGAACGACCTGCTGGACGCGCTCGACTTTAACCAGGTCGTCATCTTCGTCAAGTCGGTGTCGCGCGCGGCGGAGCTCAACAAGCTGCTCGTGGAGTGCAACTTCCCGTCCATCTGCATCCACTCAGGACTCACGCAGGAGGAGAGGTGAGGTGGCATTTCCCTGTCGTTCTGTTCTCTTTTGGAATCACTTCAATCGAAACGGAAGTGCTTGTTTTTAGAGCAGCGCTAATATTTCTGTGTAAAATATTCGGAGCACTGCTTAACCGGGGTGTAAATTGTTCGCAAATTGCTTGCCCAGATCTGGCGGCCTTTTCTTTGAGATTTTTGCTACGCTTTGAAGCTTTGCATTGAGCAGAGTCAGGGGCAACGAGTTTTGAAAGAGAGTGAGGGGCAACGAGATTGGAAAGAGAGTGAACACTTATCGCTGACGTGTGTGCTGCCAAGTCCGCTTTGGAGGTTTGGTGGCAGGCTTAGTAGGTTATGTGACGCCTTTTTACTGTAAACTGCCGGAGTACTGCTTCCCTTGTCCTGTTTCTTGATGTCGTTTATTCTTGTCTTGTCCAGGCTGAACCGGTACAAGAACTTCAAGGACGGCCTTAAGCGGATCCTGGTGGCCACCGACCTCGTAGGGAGGGGTATCGATATCGAGCGCGTCAACATCGTGATCAACTACGACATGCCCGAGAACGCCGACTCATACCTGCACAGGGTGAGGTCCCGGTCATGGTTGCGAACCGAGCTCAGATCTGTCTTGACTGCGTACCGTAGTTGCCGTCTCAGTTTATTGTGAAGTACTCACTTTCAAAACTCTCGAAAGACAAGGACGGAGAACATACAGTTCCATCGCCATTTCTGGACTCTGGCCTCGGCTTTCAACCCCTCGATGGACCTATGAACGTTGAGCAAGCACCTTTCGGCCGTCGTTCGGCCGTCGTTTGAAGGGGCGATAGCCAAGGCAGGGTCGGAGCTTGTTGACGGGATTCAAGGTTCTCCATCCCCGGCCTCCCTAAACCCGAGATTCTGATTTCAGTCCTTTCGTTGGGGATTTCAGTCTCCGCCCGAGCTGTGATTGCATCCTGGCCTGGCTTTGACTCTCTAATTTCCTTCCTACCATTTGTCTGCTGGCAATCCTCCTGAACACTCAGTCGATGCTGCTTGCAGTATGCCTACCAAGTGCAGGAAGAGGATCCCGAATTTGGTCCTGCTTTCAAGTGTTGGGAGGAGTTGCCTATCTGCAGTATTTAAAATCTTCTGTAGTTTTGGTCGGCATATCCAGGTTGATACGCTTTTCGCCGTTTTCCGTCGAGCCCGTTTCAATCGTGAATGAGGAAGGCCGAAAATGTAACCACCCAAGTGAACGCGGTCAAATTGAACGCTTTATCGTTTCGCTTTGCTGACGAAGATGTTTTTCATGCTGGCAGGTTGGCAGAGCGGGCCGTTTTGGTACCAAGGGGCTGGCCATCACATTTGTTGCTTCCGAGGAGGATGTCAAGATTCTGAACGACGTCCAGGAGAGGTTCGAGGTGGATATCAAGGAGCTGCCTGAACAGATTGACACCTCCACCTACAGTAAGTCCTTTGCTGCGTTCTTGTGCTTGTCCTGAGGCTGTGCAAGTGTTCTGAGTTTGATAACTGCAGCAAGCAGAGTCCGAGAATCTCAGCTGACTGGTACTTCGAGCAGAAGCTTTTGTGATGACGGCTCTGTCCGTTCAATAGAATGCAGAGACAGAAAGTCTCTAGTGCTTGTTCTCTCTTGTCAATCTTGACACGTCCCTGATGTAGAATTGATCTGCTCGGGGTTAGCAGTATCTGGTTGAAACTTGTGGATCGGCAATAGAGCGGCCTGTTTGAATCACTTTTGAGGGGTTCCGAGAAATCTTGAACTGAAGCAACTTTTCCGGGTATGTTCCCTAATGATTCTTCTCTCTTCTCTTTTCCAGTGCCTGCATAACCGTCGCGCCTCACCATCTGGGCTAGTGTCATTGTTGTATACTAGGGACTGCAGGAAAACAGTACCTCTTATGGGGTCGAACAAATTGGTCTTGAATGATTGTTGCTGAGAGCTAGAGCAAACGTGTTTTGTTCGGCGAGCATAACTGCTTAAATTCGAAAAGTTTACTATTGTGGTTACTGTGGCTTGTTACATGTGGCCTGAATATCAGTCAGTTCGACCTAGCTACTCCATACAAATGTCGTCTTGGGATTCAGTGCATATGTATCATGCAATGTCATGTCAAAGTGAGTGGCAGTTCATGACTTGCAAAACGTGGATTGCTGGCAAGTTTGTTTTTAGCAGTCTGCAGAAGTGCCTGCAATGAGTGCATACATCATTGGGTACAATGATCTCATGGTTGAAGTCTTGAAGACTGCAGTTTGACTGCTAGATTTGAGTTTACACCGGCTATATGGTACCGGAAATGTGATTCTTAATCACTACCGTTCGCTCGATCTTACATGGTGGGGCCCGTATGCCAGGCGGTGCATCATGTTATGCACTTGACTTCACCCAGCTGTGCATGTTACACTTGTATGTTGCGCCGGGACGTTGAATTCGCCTACCCCACTCCAACGGTTGACTCGAGATCAAACCATGAATGCATGCTTGACCTGATTGAATCATTTGAAAAGAAATATGTGTCACACGTGCAGCTTCGGCATGTCCAATATGCACGATACACCGGTCTTGGTCTGGTTCAGACAATAAGCGTAACTTAAGCACTCAGCGCGCTGTTGACCATGATAACATGGCAGCCCCGTATATTCATCATTGACAGTCGAAAGCCCGTCCAGAAACGCTGATCACAACTCCTTGCTTGCAACATAGCTAACCTTAATGCCCGTCCATTCTGTAAGTCAACGGAGGCGTGCTGCCATGATCCACGCAACCCGTGCACAGAATGCCTGTTCTACCCAGCGAGTGCGCTTCCAGCCGCGTGTCGATCCCTCTATTGCAATCCGAACACCTCGGCATTGGGGGCTTGGGGATCGTGTCCGGAAGCACTTCGAAGTTGTACTGCGATCGAAAGTCGTCGAAGTTTCGGCCACGCCACCACCACTCCCAAGGATCTTGGAAGTAGTCCTTGCACCTGCACAGCGTCGGTTGAAGGTAGCATGCCAAAAGCAACTCGAGGGGGGATGCAAAGAAAACGGAGGCAAGATGCGCTCGTCCTCCATGTCAAGCATAGTCACACTTTCCTTTCGTGCACAAAGGCATTGAAGCTTAATTGAAGTTGGCAGACAGCAATGCATAGGTGCCTCCTTCTATACTTTCTGTACGGCGCTTTTTACATGGGAAGGCTTTGTATGTCCGCCAACTGACTCACTTCTGTATAAAAGCTCAGGGTAAAACAGTTGGCGAGCCAATGTCACAGAACTTCTCCTGATAAATGAAGAGTGGTAGGAGAGCAATCAAAGCAACACATAACGGAGAGTTCTTGCCAAGACTCTTCGAAAGAAGAGAACAATTAAGGGGAGACACGTTTAAGAACCTTACTAAAGATTGAAGGTAGCAAGCGAGCAATCAAGAAGATAGAAAATGAGGAACTCCCACCGAGGAATGAAGAGAATCAGGAGAGCAATTAAGGGGACAAGACAAGCTTAGCCTCTGCGAACACAAGCTTGGTACTTACGTTTGGCAGGTCCTCCAATCCCCTCCGTGGCCCTCATCATGGTGCGAGGCGCACAAGGTGTACCTGTAAGGAGCCAATAGATATTAAAAATTCAAGCACTGCATTTAGCTCACAAGCCTCCCCTCCTCACCCGATCTTCCTGTTTAGAATGCCTTCTATTCAGCGCGGAAACAAAAGCACAGCCCGTGAATGGTACGTGCTAGCCCCTGAATGGAGAAGCCAAAAGGGGCACAGCCTGGAAAAATAACCGCCCATTCTGAATCAAAAGAAGGGTAGTGTCAGAAACTGATACATAGTCAAAATAAGGCACATTATACTTCATCCTTGACTGGCAGCATTTTCATGAGTGAGCAAGTTTCCCAACAGTCATCAAACGCGTTCAATCGAATCAAATAGGCTGCACTCCTAGTGCATTTGACTTTGCCTTTAGGTCACGCACCTCTTGTGATTCCTGTAGCAGCAGTTTTTGTCGTATGAGAAGAGCTGATACTCTCGAGCGTCGTCACAAATCCAGTGATTGCAGCATTTCGTCTTCGTTAGCGGCCTCTCTCGATTTCCACAAAGGCCACATTTCTTGACTTCCCCAGCTTCTTTTCTCTGCTTCAGTTCCTTGCATATCTTCCTGTGAACCTGCCAGTCAGCTCTCTGGCACTCCTTGCTGCAATAGAACGGCACCTGAAAAGGGGGAACTCTTCGTCAAGCACTGACACACATCTCATGGAACTTGAAGGAAGCATGGTTGCCAGGTCAACAGACCTTTTAATCATTCTGAACAATGAACCTTCAGCATAAGCATCTGCTTGCCTTGAAGGAGGCAATGGCGGTGGTTGTGCAGTGCTAATGCCTCAATTGTCTCATGTGGTCTAACATGTTGCACGTACTATAATGAAGGGGAACTAAGCACCACTGATTCAGACTCCTTGAAGCATCCAGTGAGTTGCGTAATGTCACTGCTGGCATTGGAAGACTCCACTTTTTGTGATCCCGCATTTGATTCTCTTGAAGACCAATTGAACTCAACCGTCAGACCAATCACAATGCTGGCAGCTTCAGCAATGGCTTATCAGAGATCTGCAAGGCCAGCACCAGAGACAAAGACTTGAAGTCCACTAACGTGCCCTCAACAAAGGCATCGCTACAAAGGAGCAACAAACATACAAGGTCCGCTCTGCACCGTCGTTTTATCCAACGTCTTCATCAAAGACATGCCAGTAAGTGGTTAAAAGAGCTACCTTGCACCGCCCACAGCGCTGAAAGTCTCGCTCCTTGGCATACTCAGTGGCTTTGCAGCCTGCACAGGTCCTCATAGTGGCCGCCTTTTGTGCGCCAATTGCCAAATGCCAATGCAGGAGCAGCTGAGCTGCGTAGCTGGAGCCTGAGCAGGTGGGCCCATGGGGCGCGGAATTTAACCTGCGCGGCCGGCTTTGGGGGTGCAGGTCGGGTTAGCAATAACTCATCTGATAAGAACTGGCAAGTTATCCCCCAGTAACCCACATTTGAACGCGAACCCTGCCCAAACCCTGAGCTTCGTTGATTGTCATCGATGCGCGGCCGCGCCAGGCCGCGAGCTAAGCTAGCGCCAATCCGAGCCACTCGAGCCCAAATCCATAAGGTGTCTGAGACAGCCAGGAACGCCTGCACGCGCACAAGAGGTAGGAACGCACGAGGGCGGAACCATGGGTCCATCTTGCAGGCACGCTCGGCGGCGAGCAGCGGTTAGCTGTGACGCGAAGTTCCTGCAGCAGGTGGCCATTATTGGCGCCACGGATCCAGACAAGGCCTACGCCCTGTGGTGGCCAGAGATCCAGGCTGTCGATCCTTGGACCAGCACATATGTAAGCGGAGCCTGCATATATAAGAGCATAGCCTGTATATGTTTCTCATGGCCAAGTTGCTGCTGGTTGCTGGGGCCTCATGCCCTTGCTGCTGCTTGCTCTGCTCGATTTGCCTTCTCGATTTGCCTTCTCGATTTGGGACTATATGGGAACTATATGTAGGATGGTCACTGTGGTTTGCCCCATATGTTGGACGGATACGGTACAGGGACTTGGTGCACCATTGAGCGGGGCTGCATTCTTTCGTGATTTCCTGGTTCTGGGCCTCCGCTCCGTTCTACCCCTCGCTTCTGTTGCAGATAGCGTAGCTCCTATATGATTATGACCTGCGTCATATCTAAACATCGCTTCTTGTACTCTGGTCTTTGTTTCTTCTTGTGATGTCCGGTGCCCTTTTGTCTGCGCTTGATTTGCTAATTGTAATGTTCAGAAAAATTCACTTTACGCGCGCATCCTCAATTGGCCTGCACGATCCCAGTGTAGGTGTGTTCAGTTGTGCGTGAAGGGACCTTGTGTAACACATGGTTGCCAAATATCCGCTTACTGAAGGAATGGTCTGCTTTCTGAGCTGCTTTGTGGCGACTGTTGACATCTAATGCATGTGTGGCCTATGGTTTCAAGTCCAGTCAATCAACACGCAGATAATCGTTGTGTTGAAGCTCAGAAAAGGTGCCCGATGTTCGCAGCTGGTACGGTTTTGCACATGGGGGCCCCATATTGGCAACGATGTTGTATTGAAGAGCATGTGAACATGCATGTGCTGGATCAGCCTTTTGAAAGTCCATTTTCCAAACGGTCAGGTACCTTTGGCGAAGGACATGCGCTAGACTCATGAGCCCAACTTCAAATTTACCGGCCATCAAGAACATGCACCATCACGTTCAGAGAACCATTTGCAGCGTTTCGTATGCTTATTTTGGCTTGCTGGCGACTTAAAAATGACTCATTTATATAAGCTATAGTGGGTTGAGGGAAGAATTTACGTGCCCGATGGTGGACCTCGCTATTGCAATTGCACAGAGAGTGTGGGCCCCAGCCAGGCCCCTCCGTTTGTTCAAGCAATTTGCTCCTGCAAGAGTCTGATTGCTTGTAGAGGCGTGGGGTGAGTGGACCCCAGCCAGCCCTTCTCCACGAGATATTTCAGAAGTCTCCTTTGAAAGGCTTTCCAGTTTGGCAGCCTGTGGTCGAAAGCTGCGAGGGACGTTGCGGCCAGGGTGACGCGTTCTGCCGCCCTGACCGCCTTCTCCTCCTGCTATATGTATGTATCATGCACGCCTGGACGGCTTCTCCGGTGGTTTTGGTCGCAAAAACTTCTGAACCTTAAAGATCGCATGAATTGACGCAGCAGCCATCCTTGCGCTTGAAGATTGAAAGAGAGCCCCTCGAGTCTGATGAAAGAAAAGGTGAAAGCAATGAAGAAGCTGAAAGAACGATTCACCATGCGACGGGATGTGCCGAGAGCGGGCAGGAGACATTATTGCAGCTTGATTCCATGTTCTATTGCCAGAATGCCCATAACAACCATCATCACAAAAGTAAACAAGGCAGGGAGGAATGTAAACGACATGCATGTTCTTCTCTTAGCGTGATCGTTTGCTCAAGTCGATCCGATAAGAAGAATAACGGTTGGTGTGGTCCGCAACTGATTTAGGGACTGTACAGTCAAGCTGCCTCCTTGACTTGCGCCGCTTCTCATTCCAGAATATGGAATGTAAATAAAATCCGCTATGGTTTATACAACGTCCTAACTTAAGCTCTCTAGAAATTTGCACTGCTCCTCGACAAGCTTCAAAACCTAGGGTACTAAAGAATCAATGGTCTTGCTCCAATGCTACAAGTGCTTCTTGCAAGCACCGCCTATAATGGGGCATATAATGGTCCATCACCATGCTCCGAGACAGCCAGATCTTTCCGTACAGCTTCTTATCCGTCGAAAAGAGGCGGTACACAAAACTTTCCTCCCGTTCGTTGTGACTCGCACTTGACGACTCCGCCGTTGTTCCACCTTTCTCTCCCGTCGAAGAAGTCGAAGTACCATTTCCTAGCTGTTCCGCTTCCTGCTCACTTTCCTTCCGCTTCCGCAAAACGAACGGTTCGTGTTTCGCGGAAGCGCCTTCCAGCGGATTTCTACTTGAAGTCGTTCCCTCGTTTCCACCTTCGATCCCGCTTTCGCCCCTGGAACGATCCTCGATTTCAATGGGGCTCCCAAAGCCCGAGCTCAACGGCAGCCCTTCCTCAATCACGGCCGCATCCACCTCAATTTCGTCCCCGACATCTAGCTTCACGTCCCGGCAGAAGAACGGAACCTCTTCCGAGTTTTCCGGCTCGCCCTCACGGGGCTTAGCGTCGGGAACGGCTTGCGGCCTCCACGCCCGCATCAGCTCCGCGGCAAAGGAGAACTTGGGCGGCACCGCTCCCTTTCCTTCCGGAAGACTGGTTCCGTTTCCGGTTCCGGTTCCGGTTCCGTTTCCGTCTCCTGAGCCCTCCGCCTGAAACCCCTGCTTGGACGGCTCGTCCCGAGCACCCCTCGGGCCCCGCACAATGTGCATAATCTTCCCCGGGGGAAAAAAGCGGGTCTTCTCCTGGAGCCACTCCTCCGAACCCACTGCTCTTTTCACCGGTTCCTCTTCGCTCTCGTTCTCCAAACCGTCTACCGTTTCAAGAGGCCCTGTTTCTATCCCTAACGACAATCTTTCCCCCTCGTCTTTGGCGTCGAGCTCCGCTTGCAAGGCCTCGAGTTCCGCCTGCATCCGGTCGAGTCCGCTGGCGTCGGAACGGATCGAGGCCGCCTCCTCTTCCTCATCGTCCGAGTCGTTGATCCCTTCGTCGCGAGCGGTTTGCCTGCCCACGTCGTTCAAAATCGCGGCAAGGCCTGCAAGATTGGAAACATTCTTTCAATACTCAAGGCCGGAAACTTCCAAAATGAGTGCCTACTTCTTCCGCCTCGAGCGGTCTGCTTCCTGATGTCGTTCGGAGGCCGTGGGTATCGGAAATCCTTCCATTCTCATCGGCTTTTACAGAAAGGATGAGTCGCCTGTCCATTGGACCCTGCCAGCAACGTAATTGACGAACCTAGCAAAAGGCTGCATAATAATAAGTTCTGTAACTGCTGAGAGATCGTCTGAAAGCGAAGACCATTCAAAACTGTGGTCGAAGCGGCTCTGAGGTTCCTCGTTACTTGAATAAAAGGGAAGGCCTGCGAGGAACGGATGAATAGTCCCTCGAGAACCTTCTGGAATGAAGAATCAAACCGGCAAGGCGTGTTTGAGGCTCCCGTTGGTCCAACTGGCCTTGTCAACATCCCTCACGACGTGGCACATGCCATGAACCCCAAGATACAAAAAACTACAACTTAGAACATTCAGTGAGAATATTTATTCAAGTTCGAGGATGACCGCCCACCTGTGACTTCCTCTTGCCGCGTCAGGTCTATTCGCGACACCGACCGCGACCGGCTGTGCCGCGGCGTCCCTTCGCCCGAGCTGGTTCCTCCCTCCGACAGGTTCCCAACCGACTGTGACCTTGAAAGCGAACCGATCACTCCCCCCAAGTTTTCTCGAACTTCCGCCCCCCCCTCTCTCTCCATTTCCATCACGAACCCACCCTCCCCCGGTTCGGGGGGGTGCTCCTCCGGGATCGGGGGTGGCGTATTCACCCTATTTCGTACCCCCCCGCACGCGAGCCCGCTCCAGCTCAACTTCGGCCGCACGCTCGCAACCGCCGAGACCGCAGTCCTAGCGCCCGACGAAACGGGTCGCCAGACAACCCCGGCGCTGTTACCGATAAGCGACGGCACGTGACCGAGTTGGCTGAGCCCCCGGCCCATAAGGTCCGCGCCACCCATAAGCAGGCGGAGCACGCGGATCTGGTCCATCTGGGAGCGGAACTCCGGCCACCAGGCGGAAGCGGTGACGTCAGCCCGGAGGTCGTCGACGGACGCGCAGGAGAAAGTGGGCACCAGGTCGAAGCCGTTGATGACGGACGTGACGAAGGGGCGGCCCGACTCGGACAGGTCCCACGTCATGCAGGCAGCTGGAGAAAGAAGGAACCCGGGTTAATTTCCGGGTTAGGCATCGGCTGAAAATCTCGAAGAAAGGGTGAGCGAGACGAAAACCGTCGGTGACAGACTTGCCGAAGGGGCGGCCCGACTCGGACAGGTCCCACGTCATGCAGGCGGCTGGCAAGAGACAGAGGTCAGGTGAGGGTGAAACAAAGAATGCTCAAGGAAAGGATGCGGAGTAGAAGGTACATGAGGATGGTTACGAGGGTGACTTAAGAACTGGGAAGGGGGCCCGTGGAGGGAGGTAAGACTTCAGGCCTGCAAATAATATTGACCTGACGCAGCATAGATTGAAGGCCTCGGTGATCATTTGGAAGCTTAGTGTGGGTATGGGTGCGGAGTGCCTGGAGTGTCGGTTTGTATGTTTTTGGGTTTCGAGAAATAATTTCAGCCGCTGGTCTCTCGCCCCAGAAGAAGCAAGATGGCGTTTGCAAACGGCCACAGAAGACAGATGGCGTCTGCTCGAAGGACGCTCGCCTTCTCGAACCACTAAAATGTTCCTGAATGTCGACAATGAAGGTGACGCATCGAAGCTCTTCACCCCGCCTCTCAAGCCAGCTTGCTTTTTCGAGCTCGCTTGGGCAAGCAGTTTTACCATCAGAAAAAGCGTACTTCGAATTCACACGCTTTTGCAATCCAGCCATTCCCAAAGCATGGTGAACGTTGAAAACGACGGATTCGTGACGGACAACCCAACGAACCGTAGCAGGATCTTGCCCATGGAGCCCTCACTAGAACCCTCACAATCATAGTCAGGCGTCACCGATGAAAAGCCCGAACTAATGCCTCACCTGGCGCAAAAGCGACGACCTCCGTTCCTCCGAAGCACGCCTTCTCCCGCAGACTGTATGCGAGCAGCGACGCGGTCCCGCCTCCCAAACTGTGCCCCACGATTTTCAACCGGTAACCCGGGTTAGCTTTCAAAACCTCCTCCATGACCCCCGCGGCCCGTTGCCCGATCCACCGGGCAGACGCCACCATGCCGCAGTGGGCGTGGCCAGTGACCACGCGGTCGACGATGACGTCACCTTTCCCGGAGGGCGGGACACGTGTCACGATGTGGTGGTACGGGACGCTGGAGCCTGCACGCAAGGGCGGGGAGTGTGCTGAGATAAGGCGAGAAGTGCGGGGTGCGGGGACACCCCCAAATGGGAAAGTAACAAGGACAGAGGGGTGGCAGGAAAGTCAGGAAAATTTATTATAGGACCAATCCTGGGAAGTACTACAAGGCAAAACCCGGCATTAAGAAGTTCAAAGCGGAGATGGAGCGACGATCACTGCTCTACGGGGAGGAAAGCAGGCATGCCTTTACCCTTTGCGGTCGCAGTCGCGATTCTCAGAGCAAACGAGCTTCATCCACAAGGGCCAAGCGTGATCCTACGATAAGAACGATCATAAACGAGAGAAAGAAGAAGTGCGTAATCTGGAAAGATAGCTCCGTTAACAAACTGTGACCGCACGCACGCTACTGGCTGACATGGGCACTTCCGGGGTCGAAAACAACAGCAGATGAGGTAGCTCCAAACGGCGAAAGATCACCAAACCCCGTTTGCTCACCTGTCACCGCGGTCAGAGTGTCCTTCATGGAGTATGTGCCCCGAATGATCAGCAGCACCGTCTTGTTCGCGTCGTCCCGAATGACCACAAAAGCTGGCTTCAGCAGCTGCGCGAGAGCCACCAATCGCGAAAGTCAGATCCGTTTGAATTTTCCAAGCACTGCAGGACCATGAATGTGGGCTTAGCGGAGCAGCTACTGGACGGTCTCGCTTCGGATGTGACCGGTGTGGTTCATTCTGCTCCAACGCGCATATCACCTGTCCACTTCCCCACTTTTCGTGTCGTAAATCAGGTCCTAGTCCTCGTCTGCTTGTTACCGATTGTCAAGCGCGTCAGATGAGCCTGACAAATAAACGTTAGGATTCCTGGTAGACTCTACCATGCGAGATTGCTATCAGGTAAGTACATGTTCTGACGGCTAGCAGACTTTACTTCTCGTTCCTCGGTATATCCAACAAGAGCACCACCCATCAAAACACAGAAAACGCTCTAAACCGACGTCTCGAGGGGAAGGATTAACGGGCCCGTCGCACCCCAACTCCCACAACGTCATCTAGTCACCGACCGAGCAGTGACTAAATAAGAAGCTTGAGCTATGAGATCAAAGATTCGAGGGGAGGCGTTTTCGTCTCCCAAGGGCTCGCTATTCTCCTCCAAGACAACTGAAGCGGTGGGTCTCCTAAATGCATCGTTCCTTTGAAGCAGTGCTTCAGACAAGTGCCACAGGCTTACCCCGGCAGTTCCTTCGCGCAGACGGATCTGGTCCGCTTTGAACTCGATATAGTCACTCAAGTTAGACGTCCCAATGAAGCCAACATTCTTTACAACTTTGCTGATTCCCTCACCCGACTCTACGCAGTCCTACGGCTCTATGCAGTCTCACGGGACCGAACCAGTGAACCATTCCCAAAATCCCCCTTAAACAAAACGAGACACGTGCCACAGGCTTACCCCGGCAGTTCCTTCGCGCAGAAGGATCTGGTCCGCCTTAAACCCGGTGCTCTCCAGGAAGATGGGGAACGGCCGCTTGAATAGAATGCATATGTTCAGCAGGCGCAGGAGCTCCTGAATATGGGCGATGGCGTCAGGGCCGCGCAGTTGCACGCTGCCGGGGCCAGCGTAGACCGCTGCTACGTCGGTGTGGCCCTGGAGAAGGAAAGGGGATCGATGATCTATGGAGTTCAGCAACCGGATTTGACGGGAAAGTAAGTTCGGGACGAGTGGGGTAAGTTTCAAGATTCAGGCTGGGTGCGTGTTGCGGAGCAGGCAGATTTCGGGTTTGGTGTCAGCTGGGAGCTTAGTATTCCTGATGCTGAGGGTTCCTAAAGTCGAGATCTGCCAGAATGTGCCTAGGCACGGTGGTATCTACTGCTGCTTCTCCCATTGCAAACTGCGGTTCAGGCTTCACGACGACTAAGCGGGACATGGTGACAAGATTGCACGCTGCCGGGACCGGCATAGACCGCTGCGACGTCCGATTGGCCCTGAACAAAGAAACGAGAAACCAAAATTATCATGCAGGGTCTAGCACGATTCTCCCGTCACAAGCTTGATCAAGGCGTCAGAAGATTGGTGACGGGATCGGCGAAACCAGCATCATCGGTGAGGCCCAGGGAAAACGACGGACAGAAGGGACTAGGCATGTCAGGATTCTCGCTGCTTCTCTCCTTTGGAGGTGCGGTTGTGGCATCGTGAGCGGCGGCGAGGGGTGAAACGACAGAATGAAATAAGCTAAAGGTCCGATTTTCGAAAAGCGCCCACCTCAGTTCTTGTGAGCCAGTCGATACCAAAGGCCAGATCCACAAACGCCACTTCAACGACATCTAGATACCTCAGGAAGCAGATTTCCAAAACGCCAATCCCGAAAACTGGCAGAATTCTAAAGTCACTACTTGACCCCACCTTTGTCCTTGTCAGCGAGTTGATCTCACACGCTAGGTCCATCAACGGCCGATCGACCAACATCTGGACAACTCGATGAAGAAGCGAAATTCGAACATACATACCCAGAATGTAAGAACTTGACGAGTTTTATGGTTCACCACACCTTAGTTCTTGTGAGCCAGTTGATCCCAAACGCCAGGTCTACCAACGGCCATTTGCCTAATGTCTCACTATACGTGAACCGGAGCGTCTCCCCCAGAGTCGCCACCGCCTCGGCCCATGCGGAGGGGGGCCGCCACGGCTTTGCCCGGAAGCTGCCACCTGGCAAAGTTGGTCGTTACGATAGAAAATGCGTAAATGGTTGGATCGTAATACCTCACAGCTTCGGTTTGGAAATGTTGAAAAGGCTGCATTAGGATAGATACAAGATTACCATGAAGCAGCCAAGTAACATTCGAAGTGCTCAAACTGATACGAAACGCACACTCTGTAATTTCAACGACCTTGGCCAAAAGTGGCCCTGGGATACCTCGGCCTGATCAAGATAAGTCGCCGAGAAACTTCGCTCTATGCCAAGGCTCGCGTTTCACCTGGTTACTGAAAAGCCCAGTGACAATAAGCTGCATTCGGATTGTTCGAACCATGACTTGGGCACCCATAGATGTTTCTCAGCATCATCTCCCTAGCGACGCCGACTCATTCAACTGGCTGAGCTAAGTTCTGTCTTTCAATCAGACAGCCCCAGAGCCTCCAGCTTCCAACAGCACTAAGTAAAGTCTGACCTTGAAACTTGATATTCAACTGACGATAACAGCGCACGTCGCAACCCACCTCGGTAAACTTGACTCTGAATTAATTCTAACCATGCAAATCTCAACTGACGTGATGGGCCGTGGTTTTAAGTTCATGATAACCACGCATATCTTTTCTCACCTGGTGAGCCTTGGTTTTGAGTTATTACTAACCATGCAGATTTCTAACCCACCTGGTGAGCGCCCATGAGCAGACTCCTCTTCCTCCGTTTGGGGACCATTCGGTGGGGCTCCTCTGAGCAGTTTGAGAGGCCAGGGGGGGCGATTGGTGGAGCGGCCAGAGTAGTACAGGAAAAGGGCCGCCCCTGCAGCAGTGGCCGCCGCAACTCCAGCCATGTTGGTTAACTACCTGCAGATAACTTCCTGGTTAACCCGCAGCGAAAACCTCTTTCATTTTGTAGGAGTCAAGCATGAACCTGGATACACAAAATGCTTTTTTGTGGATAAAAGTTGGTACCAGGCAGTGGAAGGCTCTTCGGTAGGTGCAGAGTAGGACAGCGGAGTTCTTGGGAAAGACAAGAGAAAGGTTGAGGTGGGGCCGGACGACCCCGATAAGGAGCTGGGGACCAGCTTCATGATAGGAAGCTCAGTTGACCATCACAAACTACTACTCCCTTCCCCATAATCGCAATGCTAGGACAAGGCAGATCAGATCTAGTATGATGAAATGAATTAACTTGTCAGACACTTGTGTGGGGTCAGGAATATGCACAAGAAACAATACATGGGGCAGTAGAGGGAACAGCCCATTTTGTCTTCCGTTTACCAGAATCAGAGGCTACTTTCTTGAAATCGATTCCCATTGCTTTTGCAGAACGACGACTCAATGATGGACCATCCAAGCTCTGGAGCTCTTCAAGCCCCAAGAGTTTCAGCTTAGAGTCAAGACTTCCTTTTCCATGACCCTTGGAGCTCTGAGGCAATAGCTTTTACCCAGACGCGTCATGGACATCTCTGAAGAGATGCTGGCCAATCCCCAAAAAACCCATGCAAGAATGCCCAAAAAGTCTGTCAGCCACTGTATGTCAACCATACATGGACTGATCCTCCTCTTCTCCATCCCCCCTTTAAATTGGCGTGCAGGAAACAAAATTTCCACGGTTATGCTGGAAAGTTGGAAACCCTTGGGGATATGACTGCCAACCTTCACCTGGCTCTGGTCTCAAAGGCTTCTATGCAATTGGAGTAGGTTGGATTGAACATCAATCCGCCTTAAGAAAGTTTAGTGAAAGGGCAGACATCTTCCAGCTTTGGAGCTTCTCAAAGAGAACCCCCTCCCACAGGCGCACAAAACGGAGCCTCAACCAGCCATCAAAATGAAGACCAACCTTGCCCCTACACGCTCATAGTGTACCAAACCCTAACTTTCCCCCAACTACTCACAACCGGCAAAAGTACGTCAAAGCTGGTGCAGACATCCACACAATATGTCCAGACTCACCCGCTTCTTACAGGTCACTGTGATCCACCATGCGCGTAGCTGTTTTCAGATTTGCATCTTCCTCAGAGGGTTGCGAATGAGAGGGCTCTGAGCGCTTTCAACCAGATTGGTGACTTAAAAATCTCAATCCTGGCATTCTGTTCGAGCATCTCTGAGCCGCCACTTGCGTGATTGAACCCCATGGATCAGAGGATAGGGACAACAGAATGCTGCCATGAGCAACTTTCCTGCTCCATGGACCATACATGAAATGATGAATGTCGTTCGAAGGTTGCATGCCCCCGCCTCATACGCGCCGCTTGCCACATGAAGCTGGAGCGTATTTCCCCTCAGCTTTTGTTGGCTTGGCCATGCAAGCAGTTTTCATCTAATAACCCTGCGGTTACCACCGGTCGCAGTATGTGAAGTTCATAGAAGTTCAGATTTTAACCCCTGACTGCGAGAAAGTGTGAATCCTCCGCGCGCAAAGTCGCCAATTGGCAATTTGCAAAAATGGCGCGACCCCACATACATGATACCTGACAGAAGCATGCATGAGCACCATGATCATGATTCATGGCAGACTTCGTTCAACATTTAGCTGACCATTTGTGCTCATGCGGTCAGCAGGCCAGGGCGCTAGCGGCTAGGTTTGCAGGCTCATGAGGCAGGGCGGCCATGTTGGTTGGCACGAAGAGAAAGTGCGCAGGCAGAACCGCTCAATGCGGAAGTCAGAACCCTGTTGCTCTCTGAAAGAACTTCAGCTGACTGATGTCAACAATTGTGTCGTACGTGTAGAATGATACCGTAGTGGTACCGAAATACTGCGCGCATTGTAGAAGAAAAACCATCTGAAGAGCGTGGAGGCCATCAGTATACATGTCGCTTGTCCTGTTCCAAAGTAAGGACGGCCTCGTTCAATCCTCAATGGAAAGAGACGACCACGATGATTGGGGCCCCCACGATGTGAGGGTCCAGATTGGCGTGGGAGAGGAAGACGAGTTCATCCATCTCCACAAGTCCGTCCTGATTAAGCACTCGGGTTTCTTTGCTGCGCTGCTTTCCAAGCGATGGCCGAAAGGCAAGTGCAGCGATGGGATGCCTCTCATCATTCTCGGCGTCAAAGATGATAGGGAGGCAGTGACTCCAGCCAAGGGCCCAGCTCCTGACACGGCCGCGAAGAATGTGGCCGCGTCTAGTTCTAAAGACGTGAGCTCCCCCGCGGAGAGCAAGCAGGACGCTTCAACTTCAGCTGCCCCTGCGAACGATGACGTCGCGAGTACTGGAGAAGGGGATGGGGAGAATGACGAGAAGATTGACGAGGACAGCGGGGACGAAAATGAAGAGGAGAATGAAGAAGAGGAGGAGGAGAGCGAGTACTACCGGGGGGTGCTCAGGGCGCGGTACAACGCGTACAGCATCGCACTCGACCTCATGTACTATGAGAACTACAAGGCAGTGATTGACACTGTCGCGATCGCGCTTGATCTTTTGGAGGTGGCGGCGGAGCTGCAGTACGATGCACTCATCGAGTATTGCTGCACCTTCCTGGAAGCGTCCCGGTGGAGCGAAGATGAGCTGGTTCGGATCCAGGATGCGATCAGACCGCTGCAGCTTCCGGCTGCCAGGGAGTTGCTTCAGAGGGCGGAGCCTGTGAGCGGGTCGAACTGCATAGAGACGCTCAAGGTGGCGTTTCTGTCGGCGCTGGAGCAGGACAAGGACTACCTCAGAGGTGAGTGCTAATGAAGCTTCTCCAAAGCAGAGAGTAGCGGTGATCAGCTTTCTTCTGCAATGGAGGCATCGTCCGCTTTGCTGAAATTACGAGAAAGAAGAATCCGCATGTTGGTGGAAACTGGTAGACTTGAGACAACCGGCATTTGAGTTCATAAGTAAACTCTTTGGCAGGGGTCCGTGTAGCAATGCTTCCCTAGTCTTACCAGAATTTAGTGTGAAATTTCCCCTTCTCCCCCTGGTTTTCCCATTCTCCCCCTGGTTCAAAAAGGCACCTTCCTCACGCACCTTCTTCGAGCTCCTCTGTAGCATTCAACCAATCAGCGCCCTCCACACTTGCGTTGTGCTTTCCCCACCGTCTAGAAAAGTCGAAGCTTAGTGGAGACCTTCCGCTCAAGTTACGCATTCATATAATAGAGGGCTAAACTTCCTATGCATTTCCCCCCCAGGCACCTTCCACAAGCTCCTCTCCACCGCTGTCTCGGAGCTCGGCGATGAGCTTCTGGTCGCGTCCTTCCTCGACGTCGTAACGGCGAAGATAGACGGAGCTCTGGCTGAGGTGAGTGTCAGTAGTCAAGCAGCTGAATCCTTAGTAAAGCGCTCCCTGTATGCTAGATCGAGTCTCATGGGAAAACGCACTAGATATCCATTTCCAGTCCTTGTCGGCCTCACTGCTTGTGCCTCCGACTTTGATTGAATGAAACGGTTGACTGGTCGACGCTCGGATTTTACCTGTCCGACTTTTTCAGCCAGCCTGACCGGACTCATACATCTGCTTTAGGAATGATTGCCTTGCCCACGCAAAGAGTCAGAGCTGCGGTGACGATCGAGCCTGTTTGCTTATCACCTCGTTAAGGTTTGACGATGCGCAGGCAACTTCAAGTTCTGTCTGGAACTATCTGGCTGTGATACTTCTGCATAGATTGTCCGAATACTTGCATCTGGCTTCCGTCTCGAAGTGTTGTACATTCCTACTTCGATTCTACAGGTCCATCCATAATCTCCTGGATGCACTGGTACTTTACACTGACAAAGCTCATCTCATTTCGCCATTCTGATTCCCCGTTTGTTTCAAATCGAGTCAATGAACGTTGTTCATCGAAGCTGTGCACAATCTTCAACTCGTGCAGGTGGCGACGGGACTGGCGATGCCCTCTGCGGGTTCCGGCCCCTCCGCCCGTCGGCGCACGTTCCTCAAGTACCACGTGGAGAAAGCGCTCTGGATCATGGGCGTGCTCCGGGAGATGGGGGCGATCCCTGAGATCGTATTTGCGTGGTCCAAGTGCCGCAGTTGGCTGCCCAAGGTGGGTTAAGTCCAGGGTTAGGCAAACAACTACGACTTATTTGCGTGGTCCAAGTGCTGCAGCTGGCTGTCCAAGGTGGGTTAAGGCTCACGGTTTCGGCAACCGAACTCTTACCCCCCTGTCTGGGTGGAGCTTGTAACATGAGAAACAAGGAGAGGACGGGTGGACGATGACAACGTGTCTACGGGCAAACTTTTCTGTTGGCAGCGCGAGGACGACAGTCCGTCCGCAAGCGTTCGAGGCCTGAACACAACTTTCGTTTCACCGTTGGATGGGGGTCCCTAGTGTTTCGAAGGTATGAAGAATAAAATCCAGCTTTGCGGTGAACAAAGAGCAGGTCAGGCAAACCCCATTAAACGATGCACTCGCCCCGTGTCGGGCGGTCTTCGGATGCAAGAGTCTCTGGCCTGTCGCTCACCTGGGCGTCTTGTCCGAGTCCTTTCCAGGTCGAATTTCTGCATGGTCCAAGCCTAATCGCTGGCGTGCCACAAGTCAGACTCCGGGATTGAAGCTCAGGATGTCAGAATGATATTCAAGCAGGTTCAGTCGAAGTTTGACGGGATCTATTCGGCGCGGGGTGGGGAAGGGCTTTATGGAACAGCTGACGGAGGCTGTCACTGGCTAAGCAAGTCTCGAGCCGGAAGGTACATTTAGATGGATTGTGAGACAGATATGTCTGATTTTCGTTCTTGGATCATGCCAAGAGTTTCCACGACACATTGCAACTTGAGGTCGGTCCAACCAGATTTGTTCTATTGCCTTCCCCCGCACTGACAGGCTCGTTTGTAAGGCAGGAAAGCTGACCCACTGTTTATTTTGCCCGCAGGCGATCCCCGAGACTGAGTGCAAGCGGCTGGTGGGCCAGTTCTCGCTGGAGGTGCTGGAGGGTTTGGTCGGCCCTGAGAAGGGCGCCATCGCGTGCGCCAGCATGTCCACGCTCGGCCTGCGGCCGCCCCAGCTCAGGTGCGCATTTTTTGGCATGCGAGCCGCCCATTTTCCGCCTGTTCCGCTGCCTTTTCCGTTACCGCCATTTCGCAAACGGAACCGGACTTTGTGTCTGACGTTGCGCAAGTACAGGTCAACGTGTGCAAGAATTGTCGTGCTGGGCCTGCGGCCGCCCCAGCTCAGGTGCGAAATCTTTCGACCCAGCCTTTGAAGTGGGCGTCAGCGGTTGCATCCGCATGACGTCACAAAGGCGCCCGTGTATGCGCACGCTGAGCCTTTCGGCCGCCGAGCATCCGTCAGCATAAAAGTCGAAGCAGCGACCAACGACTTCGATTTCGAGTCGAACATTATGAGTGATTGGTCGCTGCATCGTGCACGCCACCACGAAGCCCTCTTGAAGGACATTGTGTTTCCACTATTTGTCCCCTCCTTTCACCCATTCTCGATGAGGCTTGTCTTGTGCCGGACCTTTCTGTCTTCGCAGTTAGCCCGGGTCAGCATTTTTTGGCTGCGGACCGCCCCGTTTCTGCTTGTTCCGGTGGCATTACGGTCGTCCTGAATCGAGATTGCGATGTAGTTGTCATAACGCAAGCACGGGTTTGACGTATTTCGGCAGTTTGCGTCCCCCTCTTTACCCTTGCATTCCAGCCCTGTTGAGGGAATTTGGCTCGTTCGTGGAGTTTGAACTTGTGACAGACAGCTCAGGTGTCCACTCGAAGGGCGTCGTTCTTGGAAATATTCAGAGGTACAAAATGAGCACCAGTAAGCGAAACACATCATGGGACGGGTTTTAACAGCCCGGAATGTGAAGAAAAGCTCAGTTGGTACCCGTCGGACCTTGATTAGGGTCTTCTAGATTTGCAAACTTGTTCTCACCCTTTGGTGTTTTGGATGTATTCGAAGGACGGGTTGTTTCAACTGGCACGTGCAAAGATCACGCGGTCATGCAGTCAGCGCAAAGATCACGCGGTCATGCAGTCAGCATAATCCTCTGTCATAGTTGCTGAAAGGATAAGGATTGTGTATCTACTTCTCTTTGGACTTACCTTTGGTCTTGCCCTGCCCTAGTGTCTCTCGGCTGTTGTCTCTCCTTACGCTCTCCGTTTTCTAGGTTATACCTGGACAAGGTGCAACTTTGCTTTATTTGCACTCCCACTTTATTTGGATGCTCTCTCGCTCCGTCTGCCCGCCAGCTCTTATCTCCGTACAACTGACGTCACCTTCATGTTTGATTGAATGTTCGCTTCCCTTCTTCTCATTCTTCGCGTCCGCTTCCTTGTCCCTCACGCCCTTATCTTCAACGCGCTCTTCCGCCTAATCAAGTTCCGCAGGTCACTCTTTTTGGACATGATGGCATCCAACTTTTCCCCCCAATCTCGTTCTGCCGTTCGACACTCTTGGACTGGCCAGACGTCAAGATTTGCCCTTCCTTCCTGCTCTCTGCAAAATCCCTCTCTCCAACAAGTCTGAAGATGGTCTGTTTTCCGTATTTAATCTCCAGGTTTCCTCTTGTGAACTTGAGCGTCGTGTCTTGGGGTCTCATCAACAACGCCCTCGTGTCCCTTTCAAACAAGTCCTCAGATAGATTCCTCCACATACTCGTTCCGCAGATCCGCTCTCGTGGACATTAAGTGCCTTTTTCTGGGGTCTAATCAACGTCCCCCTCGCGGCCCTTTCCAAAATCTGGAGACATTTTTCTCTCCATACTCGTTCTGCAGGTCCGCTCTTGTGGACACGATTACTTTTTCGTAGGGCCTTATCGACAATGCTAAACCCGTTCTTTCCAAAGGAGCCTAAAACCAGAATCCTCCCCATACTCGTTCTGCAGGTCCGCTCTCGTGGACATGATCGCGATGTCGTGGGGCCTCATCAACGACGCTCTAGCGTCCGAAGCGGACAACAGCCCCCAATACGACAAAACCACCGAAATCGCCAAGCGGAAGGTCCAAAAGAACAAGTTCAGAGAGCTGCTGCAAACGCTGCCCGACGCGAACGAACTGCTCACGAAATGGTTCCAGGAGAAGAGCTACGCGCAGCTGGTCAAGTCCGTGGACTTGAGTCCGTCGTTCGAGGTGTTTTGCCGGAGAGTGCGGGCCGGCAAGCGGAAGCTGCAAGAAGCGGGTTAATGGCGGCTGAGCTTCGTGTCAGTGTACAGCGGTTTTTGGTAGTGCATAAGAGAAGAGTTTCCATTCGTGGGATGTCTGCTGCTCCCACTTTTTGGAGCTTAGTTGCGAAGACTACCTTGGGCCCTCAGTCAGTCGTGTGTAACATAAGTCGAAAGTCCAGAAAGTCAAGCTGGTGCATGTGTTCCCTTGCGCCCCAGTGTGTCTGGAAAGTTGTGGATCTTTTACGACCAAAGTCCAGTGTAATTGACCAGCTTCTTCTGAAGTTCAGAGTGTACACGAGAGTCGGCTGGGTTCAAATTGATTCTAAGTCTTAATGTGCCTGTGTCACTCGTACGTAGGTTGACGGTTTACATTTCAGACGGTGCATGAACTTCAATGACATGTATCTGGCAATACTGATACCACTTAGTATACAAGGCTAGGGCGGCATATCCTTTGATTAGGATGAAGTCTGACGCCAATTACTGAAAATGGCATGAGAACTATATATAACTACTCGACGGCCGCGCCCTTATATACTTTAGTATCAAGATAGGTATAGCTGCTTTATTTCAGGGTTCATGCACTTCTCATAATGCATCATTGCCAGAATCTCGGGATATGATCCTGCGTCAGTACGCGCTACTTTGTGCTGTGCAGTGACTGAGGTTCATAACGGTGGCCGAGTGTAAACCCGGTGCATGCCTTAGCGGCCGACTGTCACCGCTTATTATTCGGCCGACATTGCACGAAGTTTAGTTCTCCAACTAAGTGACCAATTGGGGCAGGCTGCCATGGCGACTCTTTGATAGAGACTTTCAACGGCTCAAGTTAACATTAAACATTCATATACACTATATCTGTCACAGATCTTAAGAGCTTTGAGACTTGGTTGTTACAAGGCTTCGCAATTTCCGATCACGGTGCATATATAATCGGCTTTATACTGAAGTCCCAGGCAGTGTCAGTGACGCTAGAAAGTAGACCAGATTACTACTCAGCGGCGATTGCACCTTGTTTGCATACATCCATGTTCAAGTAGACTTGTCTGAAGAGAGACAAGACATTGCCAGATTGTCGCAAGTTTTATAGATTTGACCTTCTTGCACAAGTAGCTTTCAGATTTGACCTGCATGCACAAGCGTCGTTCAAACACAACTTGTCCGCATTCCTTGGCAGTGTGCAGTCACTAGCTACTTACTATGCGCAAGTTGTCGTTCATCAACGTACGTTCCATATTCATGCGCTCTGACTCTTCTGTACATTACCGGTCGTCAACACCCCTACCCGCCCCGCACATCGATCACCTCCTACACCGAGCTACAAGAGTCGTGGGCTTGGAAACGATACTACCCTGATCAAATCGTTAACCCTTTAACCCATCACCTTAGAACCCTCCCCAGATTCTCTGGGCTTGGAATCGACTCTATAATTGATCAAAATGTTAACCCCGTGAGCCCGTTACCGTAGAACCCTCCCCAGATTGCTTGTGAAACCATTGTTTTGGAACCTACTTCGCACCAATAAGCTCAAGGGCCGGCACTTTGTCAGGGGTGCCTGCGGGCATCTTCTTGGAGATCACCGAGCCGTTCTCCCAGCGCCAGTCAAGCGAGTAACCCTGGCCGTTAACCACGGCGTACATGGTGCCCGGGGCAACGTAGTCCACGAACTGGTTCTGATCATCGGGAGCCTGCACCGGGGGGAAAAAACCACAGGTTAGGACAGGTTATGGTAGCATTAAGGCTAACAGACTTTCTGTCCTTTCGGAGGTCAATGTCCTTCCAAACTCGAGAGACCACTGAAACGCTGTGCCAACAAGAGCGGCCAATAGCAACAGCAAATTTGGGGCTCAGGACGGGAAAGGAACGGAAGCGGAAGAGGCACAGCAACTTCGTACTCCAGAACAGACCCAAATATGGAGGAGTGAGAAGTCAAAAGGCTGGTAGACTCTGCGAGTTGCTAGGATCTTTTGATGTAATCTGCGTTGGCTCACACTGATCTGATATCCACTGGGAAATCAAACTCGGATGCAAGAAATGGACTGTCAGAGGATGGATCCTCTGCTTACCTCTGATGTTCCTGCGTGGATCTGAATGCCGGTGACGACGGCGAAGTCTGCCTTTGCAGGATCGACGACCTTGGAAAGCAAGTCGTTCAGGTCCTCTGTGATCACCTGCACACAGTGAACCGGATATGCTCAGCAAGCGGACAGCTTTCTCTCGATGTTCGCTTGTAAGGTATATTAATGTGGGACTACATGTCGCTCGTCAAGGTGTTTCAAACCAACACAGACAGAGGACTAGCCGTCAGTGATCCTTCATGCACAAACGAATGACCAAGGACGTCCGACTGTGTGGTCGAAACGTCTACCGGTCCTCGGAAAAATCCGACTGAACGTTCGAAGCCTGGCAGCAACAGTCCCGCACAAGTATCTGAAGAGCCTTTTGGGATTGTTGATCCGAGTCAATTTAGAGTTTCGTCTTCAGAGTATGCTGGATCAAGAGTCAATTTAGAGTTTCGTCTTCAGAGTATGCTGGATTGCTTACGTCAAGGGCGGTCTTGGTGACATCCATAAGCGACGGCGTCTGGGTCGCCATGTTGCATAGGCACGATTGCTGCACACGGCGATAGCTGGCGTCAGACGTTGGAGAATCCGTACCAAAGACGCAGTTGAGCAAGGCTGAATGAAATGGACTGTAAATGCTGCGCACCCTGTTAGAGCAGCAACCCCAGGAGAAGATTATTTGAAAGTCATTCGGCTCCACTGAAAGCCTGTGGTAATGAGTTTGCTTATGCAGAAAAGAACTCCACTGAATGGCGGAGAGTTCCACATGATTGGTCAAGGGAGTGGATGAAAGCGGCGGGATGCTTTCAAAGCGAGCGGTGGAGAGTAAGTTCAATGCGATGCCAAGCAACACAGTCACACCGAATCGACGGCTTACCTTGTGGAGCACCTTGTTCCTCAGAATGGTGTACTCGATGTCGTCCGGGTACTGTGCATCACCGGACCAGCCTTTCGCCTCTCCCTGGATCGCGATCAACGCGCCGCATGCGCTGGAGATCTTCTCGCGCCCAATGCGCTGAACCATGCCCTCGGCGCCGTCGGCGCTAACAGCCACGTGGGGGAAAGCGAAGAAGACATCTGCACATGGGTTGAAAGCATTGCGTCAGAGGGTTTACCAGGAACTCTAAGTAAACAAAAAGAGTTTCAATGAAAGTTCTGCATGAACTTGCTGGTTTATGAAGCAACCCCTGGGTTTCTATAGGCGACTGGGTAATGCAAGTGATAGGGCGTCTCTCAAAATGTCTTTTGAAGTGGTAAGAGGTTGCAATTCTGTAGATCTGGTTGGACCTGAGATTCATTGTTGTTTGAGCTTCTATGGCTTCTACTTCCAGTGAAGACTTCTCTCGAGTCTGAAGTTCTCAAGTCAGCACTGGCCAGATACCAGTTACTCTGTATGGGAATCATAGGTCACAAACCTTCCTGCATCTTAAAGGACTGTGCAATTGTTGCGGCAGGGACTTCTGATGCACTTTGAAGAACAAGTCAAAAACCAGGAAAGCTCACATTTCTCGCGGATCTTGCCGTCCTGGTCGCGGTCAGGGAGGGTGGGGGAGTGGGCCATGCCAGCCCCTAGGCCGGTCTTGCCGCAGTTGACATACCCTCCTAGGCCGGAAATGTTGAACGACTCGCCGTAAATCTGCATGACATGAGCGAAGATAAGCTCCACGTATGGAGGGATGGGAGTCACTGTGATTCTCAAGGGACTTCAACTGGTGCATTGCTGGAACATCAATCTGTTCTGGACTTGAAGCTGCAAAAGGGTCTGCACAACCCTCTTCTCAATCCCTTCTCACTGACTGTGCCTTTAAAGAGGCAAGTGCACTGACGATCAAGAGCAAACAATGACTGTTCCTGTGCAGAAGCTCTGAGCTGAACGCGACAAAAGCATCAGAATACCCCTCAAAACATCGAAGCAGGGTTGCATTCAGGGTCAACAATCAAGGCAGAGCCAATATCAGCATCAGCTGACTGAACTGGAGCATATATCCTTGAAGAATAGGGCTCACATTTGAGCACCAATTTCCCTGAACAAAAGGGTCTGTGTGGGCAACTGCTTTCCCCCCAGACTGATTCAGACTGATTCTGGACTCACCTCATCAATGTTCTGAACCAGGCCGCGGGTGATCTCGTCACGGCAAGCATCGACCAGGGCAATGCAGTTGTTCCTGCAAAAACACGAGATGAGACACAGGTCATGAGATACTGAATGGCGCTCTCTGCAAGAACCACATCTCAGCTGTGTAATGTTAAGCAGCTGCTTGTACAAGTCTGCACAATGTCTTTACCCTCAAGTTCAGCCTGAACAAAGAGTCTGGAAAGTGAGATCATAACTTGAATGCAAAGTGGTGCAATGCAGCTCAAGATAAAGTGTGACCTGAACAACGAGTTTGGCTTCACTTGAATGGAAAGTGGTGCAATGCAGCTCAAGATACAGTGTGACCTGAACAACGAGCTTGCTTCACTTGAAGGCAAAGTGGTGCAATGCAGCTCAAGATAAAGTGTGACCTGAACAACGAGTTTGAAGCAAAACACACAAGTGGTACAATGCAGCTCAAGATTGAGCGTGGCAAGGAGTGGTTGTGGTTGAAATAAAAGGAACAGCATCAACACCCATAGCCACTTATCCATTCTATATGCAAACTCATCAGCGCCTAGACAGCATTAGTAGTGTAGAGAAGATATCAAGCTCTCGTTGAAAGACCCATTGACGAGACTTATTCTGGTTCCCAATGTCAACAAACAAAAGAAAGGAGGGTAAGCACAGTCCTGACTGGAGCCTGTTCATTGGGACCTTTATCTGAAGTTGAGCAATGAACTGAGACACAACTTTTGGAGTACCCATCTCTATCAAGATTCTTTCCTCATTTCCTCAGTTGTCAGCCATAAGGGACATTTCCAAAACCCTACTCTGGACTCGTCATTCACAGGGCGACTACAAGCAGCTCAAACACAAGGGTCAGTCCCAACATCAGATGTCGAAATGAACAAAGTACACGAAATCAACATGAACAAAGTACACGATATCAACATGAACGAACTCCACAAACAAAAGAGAGACCAAATGCACAAACAGATGAATAAGTCCCTCACCTGTTGAAACCAAGGTCCTCGAGCGCCTCCGACACTTTTCCGAGGAAGTCGGTGTCCTTCTGCACCACCGGGAAGTACTTGGCCATCGTATCCCGCGCCTTGCGCGTGGCGTCCGTCGGAGCTGCCTTGGAAGCCACTGAGCTGCCGCCACCTGACGTCGTCTGGGGCTGCTCAATCTTGATGACAATGGGCTGGGGAGCGGGTGCCGGAGGCGCAGGCGCTGCGGGGGCATTGCCGGCGAGAGCAGGAGCGGGGGCCTGCTGCTTGTTGCCGAAAAGCGCGTAGAAGGCCGCGGCAAGGCCTGCGCCGACGAGCACTGCTGGGAGGTATTGCTGGCTGCTGTTGACGTAGGCCAGAGGGGGGGCGGCCTGGACGGAGGCGACGGTCTGGGGGCGCTGGGCGGGGACAGGTGTCGCCTCAACTGCGGGAGGGAGAAAGTGGGTCAGTTGAGGAGACAATGTGTGCCAAGGCAGTGAGAAAAGAGGGTGAAGGATTTCTAAGAAAGGGAGGTGGCTTGAGTAGGGTTTTGTGTTTAAAGTGGGAAAAGGAATGTTTTGTTCAGTTTTCTGTGTGGAGCAAATGAGGATGCTTGAGAAAGACTTTGGATAGTTGGGACAAAGCATGGAGAAGAGTGTATCAAAGCAGGTCTTTCCAAATATCGTCTACTAACTTTAGCTCACCAACTCTTAGCACAATGTGGGTCTACACAATGTAGTTCCTGCTTCTTCATTGCCTCCTCTTCAAGAATTTCCTGTTGTGTTTCCTCTTTGAACTTCTGGACGGATGGTATTCCCGGAAAGCTTGGTAATTGGACAGGATGGTATTCCCGGAAAGCTTGGTAAATCAAGAGTCCCCATCTCTACACTTGCTCAAATGCAGGTGTTGTTGCGAAATGCACGCTCCATTGTATGTTGCATTAGGGTTCCACAGTGCCTCATTTGCATTGGTTTACCATTGCCCTCACAAATAGCGCAAGACCTCCTCTTGAGCAGCTTCCCACGACATACCATCCTCTCTATCATTTGATGCCATTGCCACTTTGTTGCTCTGAACACGAAACCCGAAACCCACAAAAGGTACCACTGAGATCGCAAGACTCAGAATCCACAATGTGAACCACCACTCACAAGAAGAAGCATCGACATTGACACAATGCACCAGTCCTTCCAAGTGTGCTGCAAGGCTGTTATCGAAACTCTTGAAAAGGGCGCTCAAAATGCATCAGCAGACTCAGATATGAACAGGAAATGTGCAATGTGAGGCGCAGCAGAAGTATATGAGAGACTAAGGCGCACCTGAGACCTGGGCAGGGGCCGACACATTCTTGCTCCCGTTAAGGGCGCAAACGGGGCGCACCCTCTGGCCGTTCAAGGGGACCCAGACCGAGCTGCGTCTGGTACTCAACAAGTTGCCGCGGCCGCGGTCGGAACTTAGAGGCAACCCAGCAAACTCAGTGTGAACAGGCTGCGCAGCACCCAGAACAGTTGACTCCAAGCTCATCACCCGCCCGGCGGCGGCATGTGTTGCGGCAGCCATTGTGCTAGGATGGTTTGGGTAGCGTGCGAAAGCTGCCAAAAAAGTTTGTTTGTGGGCTTTCTTCTTTTGATGCTCGCTTTTGAATGATCCTCCCCAATGTAGCAACTTGAAGGTGCAGCGAATTTTGGGTCTCCGCTTGTGGAAGTTTCGGAGCTGTTCCGAGTTCCTTGTCGGAACGAGCAGACGAGAAACGTACGTACCAAATGCAATGCTGATTCGGGTAGACCGTACCACAGCCGCAGATCTGTCAAATTGGGTGAGCTCAAGTTGTCCCTTGAAATTTTAGTGGATGGCATTGGTTGCCTCGCATTGAATCCAGCAACTTCTGCCACGTAACCATCGCGGAAGCCTCATGGAATCACATGGCACACAGACCTGACGGTACGTTCCAGTCGAACGAGCCACTTGTCCATTCAGGAATGAATACCTTATCTGTATTATGCAGCCTGCAGGCACCGCCTATATTAGGGGTTACGTAACCGGGTCTGGGCTAGGCCTTCTGCCTCGGTTGGAGGACGCGGGGCGGCGGGGGAAGTCTCAAACGAAGGGATCCCTCAGGATCATGGGCTGGTTACGTAACGACGCACACTTCGTTCAGTGCGCCACACATTGCGCACAACCGGGCACGCATGCTGGCATGAGCAAGGGCAGTATCAAAGTCCCCCAGGGAAGACCAAAACGTGCGGCCCCGGATTTTCGGTGAGCTCCGGAAGGATTTGGGTGTCCCCGAATCAGATAATAAACTGGATACGCAACCCTTGCAGTCTTGAATTTGTTATATGTGGATTTCTACGGTAGGCACAAATCACCTGCTTTGAGCCGAACACATACCTATACCGTATGCGCTCGAATTCCAGACTCCTTCCCAATTTCCCCGCGGCCGGCCAAGGTGGGGCTCTACCGGCCGCTGGGTCAGATACGCAGCACCAAGCTGGTCTCCTGTGCACTCCTGTGTCCTCAACCGGGAGCTTTCAGTAGGGAAGACGGAGACTGGCCACACAGTTTCATCTGAATGGTCGCCCTGATTTCATACTTCTGTTATTTAAAACGGGTAAAGCAGATGGAAGCTTAATTCCAGACTGTCAAATACACTCGGTGGATTGACACACGATATCTTTGAGAAGCTCATCGAAAGTCGAAGATTGGAGATGGTCGAAGTACCAGGTACTCGGTAGACTGCTTTGTTAGGCCTCCGAAATAGAAATAGCCCGTCCGAAGTTACAAATTCCAATTTAGAGCGACCGCCGACCAGGTACTCTAGTGACAAAGTAGGGTCGAGCGACACGAGTACCATACTTACTGAGCTGTGCTGCTTCTTCCAACTTGAATCCTAGAAGTAGTAGGTACTGGAACGCGGGGCACTTGGACAATCAGGATTTCTACTAGAATTCCTAGGGACTGTAGAGCCACCCTATGCGAGCGACGGAGCGGCTCATTTGCCAAGTCTGTTGAGAAGGAAGGCGTCTTGCCAAGTCTGGCAACCCAGCACATTGCCTTCTGTTTGGACAGAAGCCACACACTCTGCATCCATGGCGACTTCCGCTCACGTTGCCATGCGGCCGCAGGCCCTCTGGACCGGGGGGGGCCCCGCCTCCGCTAGATCGGCTCCTGCATTCAACCCGCTCCCCGCACAAGTTGGATGCCCTCTGGCCACTAAGGAAAAATGGCAGCGAATGTGGGGGCATGCATCTCTGAGGGCGTCCCTCGACCTGGCAGACTCGAAAGAGGAAGCAGCTCGCAAGACGAGAACTCCTTCCCTTCCACAGCGGCGCTCGGTTCGGTGCCAGAGCGCGCCAAAGTCGAACAGTCCGCCACCTGTCGCCCTGAAGCACTACCTCACCCCCATCAGCGCGGATGTCAAAAAGGAGGAGAGCATGGTCTACCGGCGCACTGTCTTCGGCCACCCCGAGTGGCTGCGCCACAGGAGCAGCACGCGGCACTACCGCCACATACTCAGCATCAGTTCGTCACGCGTTATCTTGGCCTTGGGGCCCCCAGTCCTGGCTCTGACAGGTGGCGCCCTTGCGATGGCTCTGTACAATGAGGCCATTGTTCATGATATTCTCCCGCACGAGCTTCCCCTGCTGAAAGCATCTGCACTCCCGCTTCAGCTGACAGCCCCAGCCCTGGCGCTCCTGCTGGTCTTCCGGACAAATGCGTCGTACTCCCGCTTCGACGAGGTGAGCCGGCTGCTCCGGGTTTGACTAGGGTTTTCTTGAAGGAACATCTACCTATGTTGGTCAAGCCTTGGTGATGTGGAGAAGTGGACATCCAGCTGAAGTATGAAGAGTGACTTTCGCTGTGCCATCTTAGTAAGCAGCTCTAAGAGGACATTGGACTCGTTTGTGAGTGGGTGCACATTGCTGCCTGAGAGCCGCAAGGCATGGAATCCAGGTCCCTTGGAAGAAATGGAGTCTTGTGACTTGAGCAAAACGCCGCAGATGCGCACATGGTCCTTGCGGTTGCACAGCCCCCAGTCACATTCCTTTAGTGCAAAGCAAGAACATCTGCTCATCTGCGTTTAGCACGGTTCCATCCGCGCTAATCTCAAAAGTGCTCTGGAAGCTTGCCTTCATCAATCTCCCGTCTAGTTGCATTCGTCTGCTGGGCTCTGCTTGTCATTTGAAGCAAGGCCGCCCGTTGCCCGCACAGGAAAGCAATGGCAGAGGCCCTGGTTTTAGATCAGGCACTTCTCCGGTGCAAGAGGCATGGCCTCTGAAACCCTATTTGCACCTATCCTGCGACGAAAAGTCCGCATTGCTTGCTTTCACAAGGAACTAGAATGAAACAACATGGTGACTGGAACAATCGCTTTCAAAGAGGGCTTTTTGACATCATCGTCGTGCAGTGCTCAATATGTGGTGGGCGATATTAAATGAGTTGCGGGAAAAACATCAATTTGTTTGAGACGGAAAAGAATGGACTAAGAGTATTGGTTGTAATATTAACTCATTTGTCACATTGTGGTGCAGGCGCGTAAGATGTGGGGTGCGACGCTGAATCGCGTCCGCGATTTGGCGCGCCAGGCGCTGTCCTACATGGACGACAACGAGGAGCGGGAGGAAGTGCTGCGCTATCTGATGGCCTTCCCGTACGCGTTCAAGAACCACTTGCTGCGCGAGGACCACATTGTCGATGACATGCGGGTAAGTTGGAAACTGGGGTTACTTTTGACACGAAAAAGTTGTGCTGATAACCAAAGTGATTAGTGCTTGCTTGCTCAGCCTTGAAAAACTGGGAGAGGATCGCATTGTGGGCGACATGCGGGTATGGCAGGAGGGGTTTACACCGTAAACCTGGCCTGATTAGCACTGGTTAGGTGACAGTGACATTCAAGGACTGCATGCTGCGAGAAGACAAAGCGCGGGTAACATGGAAACTGCAGGTTACCAGCGGAACAGAAAGCTTTTTGGGGTTTACTGGTCAGCTCCTGGTTGTTGTGATAGAAATGCAGGTCAAGTGAAGATCGAAGTTAGGGTTCACAAGGATGTGTCCAGACTTGGTCTGGGATCCGCATGTGGCCTTGCATGAAGTAGCTTATTTCTTGTAGCTCATACGTTGCTGAGCATTTTCTTGAGCTCCAGCACCTGAGGTAGGCAGGTACATCTCGTCAACAAAGTCGTTTCTGTCACACCTCGCCTCAAGAGGGCTGTTTCTGCTCTCACCCTCTTCTCACATGCAAAATCTCGTCATAGAAGAAAAGCCGCCCGGGGCCCACTTCAGACTGTGCTTCTTTGCTGGAACAACAAAGATTCTGTGGGTCTGTGAATGCTCATCTTGTAAGCTGTTAACAACTCTGTTTGACTGCAGAACGTTGGACTGAACTCCGACGAGATCGAGATCTTGACGTCGACGGAGCACCGGCCGAACTACTGCCTGCAAGTCATGTCCCAAGTCATCTCCAAGAACACTGACCTCACCGACTTTCAGCGAGTTAACCTTGTAAGCAAGCACTTTCTGACTACTTTGCTGTTCGCCTGAGAAGGATTCTTTTCTCATGCACTGGCCCAATGCATTTCGACAAAGCTAGGTGTTCCTCAGAGCTCAAAAACAACGTGAAGGAAGCTAAGTGAGGAAAAGTTAGAGAAGCTTGTAAGCCCGGTTCTGGACATGCATTGAGATGTATGTCTGAAGTCTACTGGGGCCCCCACCCCTTCCATTCCAGAAGGGCCCCCCCCTTCCATCCCAGAACTGACATTGCGCTGTCAGTTCTGCTGTTGTACATTCATAGAGCTTGGAGTTTGCTGATCAAAATAAAATTTTGGGGATACAAAAGGAAAGGCCAGTCACTGCTCTAGACGCCAAATGCACGCACGCATTGTTTTCTTGGGCTATAGGTTAGCAGCCTCCTCAATCAGGCGCAGTTAAGCTAAACCTAAAGATGTCTGTGCCGGTTTGCAGGACCACAACCTGACCCACTTCCACGACCAAGTTGGAGGCTGCGAGCGTATCTTCAAGACCCCCCTCCCCCTTTCCTACACGCGCCTGACCAGTCGTTTCCTAGTCCTGTGGCACTTCTTCTTGCCGCTCGCGCTTTGGGACGCGTGCCACTGGATGGTTGTGCCGGCAACCTTCCTGTCCGCCGCCGCGCTCTTCTGCATTGAAGAGGTGAGGCCACTGAGGGATTTTGAGATTGTAGGGTTCTAGGTTTCCACGCCAAATTGCCCTCTGTTTGCACCATTCATAGTCTGTTCAAACCATTCATTGTTTTTGTAAGATGGTCTTCTGACCACCTTCTTGTCCGCCGCTGCGCTTTTCTGCATTGGAAGAGGTGAGGGGTTCTGGGATTGCAGAGTTTTAGGGTTTCAAGGTTTCGCCGCCGAAGCGCCGTGTTTTTCACCGTCTTTTTCCACCATTCATTTTGTGTCAACAACCCCTTTTTAAGTGTGGTAGTCCTGGCCACCTTCGTGTCTGCTGCCGGGCTCTTCTGCATTGAAGAGGCGATGCCACACCTAGTGATTTTTGAAGGGTTTTGAGATGGTAGGGATCTGCTCTTTAGGGTTTCATAGCTTAGGGGTTCTCATGCCAGAATGCCCTCTTTTGTCACCATTCATCGGTTTTTCAATCCTTTTTTGGATGGTTATTGCGGCTACCTTCCTGGCGGCCTCCCAAGTCTTCTGCATTGAATTCTGCGTTGAAAAGGTGATTAGGGTTCAGGGTTTGAGGTGTTCAGGGTTTCAGGGTGTTCTAAGGTCGGGATTCACCATTCGTCATATTGCTGTTCTCTTCTCTTGTTCGACCTTTTTGACAAAGGGAGCATTGATTGACTGGTAGGGTTAGCGCCTTCTTTCTAATACTTGGGAACACCCTGCTTTTCCCCTCTCGACCTGAATATTGTTGCACAACATTGGACGACGGAAGAAAGATCAGAGCCACAAATCACAATTGGCAGATTGAAGTACATCTGGTCAAAGCAGCCTAGCTTGCAGACTCCCTTGTACACATGATTTGGCCGGATCCCACAAGGTAGTGGGGTAACCTCCTGGAGCCCCATTTAGCCTAGGTTTACTTGTCGCATTCTGCTTCACCTTCCTTATTGATCGTATCTCTGTCTTGCGGCTTGTATGAGCCATGTGCCCGTTCATCTCTGTGCAAATCATAATCTGGTTTTTGACACACGCTCCTACTGGACGAAATAGGTCGGCTTTCACACAGAATGATTGATTGCAAGGCGTTTATCTGAGAACGGACTGATCGATCAGAACGCTGTTGACAACAAGCCAAGTTGTTTTCATAGCTGCTCTTGTGTAGGAGGCGCAGAATGCTCTTGAAACTAGACTGATGGCCCAAGCTTTACTCACTTAGGCGTGAAGACCAGAAATTCTTCGAATGGACTGATTGATCGACGTTGGCTGCCTATGTTGTGTCTTTTCCTATTGGATTGATTGATCGATATTTACGCTCTCATTTAATAATGGATCAATTGATCGACATATACTGCTTGTGTTCGGAATTTTACGACCGCTGTCCAAACCCTTCTCAAAGACCAATATCAACATACAGCGCCGCAGGCCGGGGTTCTGGTCGGAGACCCGTCCTCTTTGAACGGACTGATTGATCGGACATTTGCCGCTCACCTTCGGGACTGAAAGACCGCTTCTCAAAACTTGCACGAAGACTGATCAGCGCCATAGCTCAGGGTGCTGATTGCAGAGCTGTTCCGCTTATGTCGGGATCTTCAGAATTGCTATCAAAGCTGCCATGAAGACTGATCCAACATACGTCGCCGCAGGTCGGGGTGCTGATTGAAGAGCCGTTCTCGATCCTGCCCCTCCACGCGATTTGCAACACCGCCGAGAAGAACGTCCGGGAGCTGACCCGGCTTCAGGGTGAGCATCTGAACAAGCGCGCGATCGGCGGGAAGAAGCAGGCGCAGCTCAACGGGGCGTCTCAGAACGGGGTTGCGGACGGGGCTGCCGCGCGCCGGACGAACGTCCAGGTGACAAACTGATGTATGTCCCGAGGGACTCACGGACTCGGCTGGCTCCAATGATAAGCGGATTAGCTAGGATTGAATCAGTCAGAGTTGAAGTCGATGCTACGTTTGACCGCGGGAAGGGTCAAGCAAGTGTGTTTGTCGAGTTGTGGGCTTCTGATCTGGTTAGCAAGTCAAGGCAGCCTTGAGGTCCATGTATTTGTTCGCTTGCACAATTGACGGGTCTCGTTTTTTGGAGTAGCTCCTGCAAGTTGCATTGTGTATAGTGCATCGTAGGTCAGGTGCTTAAAAGACTCGGTGTTTGGGCGCAATTGAATCAGGATTGTATCTTTTTAGTCACTCGAAGGTCTGTGTGAGAGCAGTTTATTGAGAGTTGATGCAACTCTCCACTAATGCTCAATTGTCGAGATTGTCGGAAACCTTAGGGCGGGTTGAATGGGCAGACACTTGACATTTGTGGATGCGGTGATGCTGCAGGCATTGCAGTTGCTACTTAAGCACCTGCCGTTGGCCGATGCGGAGGCCTTGGAGAAGAAATACAGTTGATCTGGTCTGGAATAGGGGGAAGATCAATTCCCAGATGTCACGCCTTGGGTTGCTTGCTTGAGTCGACTAAGACTCCAAGTGATTGTATGCCATGACCAGGTAGTCTGCAGAGAATCAGCCATGTTAGTCATGCTGCTTCGATGTTAGTTTTGCTCAATAGGTAGGTAGTATCAGTGTTTGATTGATCAAACTCTTATCTCTGCGCTTGGGTGGCACAGACGCGGGCGCCTAAGCTTGTACTGATAAATTTTATATAGGGTCAAACCACTGCCATGTATGTTCGAAGAAAGTGTGTTCAGTTGTTCCGCGGATGCAAGAATTCTGTGTATCATTCCTCGCTCGCAGCGAAAGAATGCATGATGTGTAAAAGCCAACTTTGCGGCTACATGATCTGTGAAAGCCAACTTAATTTGCGGCTAACATTTGAAATTCGGCCCCCTTTCATTCGTGTCAATGGCTGCGTTCTCAGAAGATTCGGGCGCGGTCCAACGTGCATCACGCGCTTATTCACAAGCGCACGGTGCCGCGTGTGCGCATAGCCCAAAACGCACGTACGTGGTCAGTATGCTCCAACTTCTATCAAGGGCTGCCCGGGCCGCATGCGATATATGTCCGACGAAGATGAGTGGAGATCGATGCATAATGATCGTCAGCTAGAAGAGACACCATGCACGAGCCATGCCAAGGACATTGCGCCAGAACGCCGGGTCACTAGCTTTTATAAGCGCATGCACGTGACCGTCCGTTTGAAGGGTGAGCCTTTGGAAGCAACTTGAATATAACAATAACAACACAAACAATGTTCCGGTTGGCCAAGCCAACTCAAAGTCGCATGTGAGTGCCACAGCACCTAGCTCAAATGTTCAAATGTCACTAGCTCCTCGCTGCTACGCCTCCCTCCAGCGATCGTGAACAAATCAACGCGACTGACAAAACCGGACATGGCTGCAAAGGCCTCACACTCAGAGTGCTCTGAACTGCGCGAGCCGATCGATGCACCGCCGCACCCGGTCGTCGACCTGCTCCGTGACCGTTATAAAGTATAGATCGAAGCGATCATCAATTGAATGCAGAAGGTTCATGCATACTGAGAGCCTGCCCTTGTAATGTTGCGGGCGGGCCCGGGCGCCTAGATATGCTTGATGGAATTCTTCCAAGACCGTATGTGTGACGTCCCAATTGTGAGGATTTCATTTCAGTGCAGATCATGCATCTCAAGTGGAATGGAATGCCGGTTATACGATTCCAAACTGTATCATTATACTTGTGTGTCAGGTCAGTGGAACACCAACTATGAATTCGGGCCTTCCTCCCGGCTGATAGCGCCGTTGGCTCCGGCCGTTTCGGGGGCGCCTAGCATTGCGATGAACGCATCGGACGCCGGGTACAGATACATTACTAGCATTTGCATGACGTCAGGCTGACGGGTAGCTGCCTGGCATGCAATGGCTGCCAAGCTTCCCGAGCTTCCAATTGGACCTAGGGTATAGCCTGTTTCTCCTCATGAGTGCTTCTCCTTAAGTTCATCATAAGTTTACGCTCATAAAGCTCTCTTTAGTGTGATGAACTCATCTAAGCACATGTTGACACTTTTTACAACTGAGGCCAGAGATGGTCATTTGACCAGCAAAGTGTATCGTATGGTTTCGGGAGACAATTGAAGACATCGTCATTTGAGCCTTCAGTAAGCCTTCTGCAAGGCTTTATGATGGCTTGACAAGACTTCAAAAGTCTTTCAGCAGCTCAAAAATATTATACGGAAGCAGCACATTGCTCTGAAAAGCCACTCTTTCAGCTGCGCAGTGCTTGCGCTCAAGTCTGAGCATGGTATAATTGCATGATGGAATTACAGGCCCCATCAGTCCTTAGGAGTTGGCATAGTTATTGAGCGGCTTTGATTTCAGGAGATTTCATCGGATGGTTCCGCTATCATTTCAGCGAAACCCTCAGGCAATTCGAGATTCGGCTACCCACCTGTATGGAAAGTATGGTACAAACTTACAAGATCTGTAGCTCTCTCCTCTCTTGATAAACATATGCGCAGTGATCGTAATTTGAAAGGAGGATACACATGTGGAGGTGCGGTATGTGTGGTTCATCCTATACACTTGTGTCACACTGAGATTGAGAAATGCAACAGAAAGTCCTTTGAACTGCACGTACAACTTCATAAGTCGAATTGAAGCTGAACGTACTTGCATGGGGTCAACCAAAGGAGCGCCTGGTCTAGCCGATGCGAATAGACCAAGGCTCTCGATCAAGGACATACACCTGATCAGTCCTGCAGTGAGTAGTACGGTATCTTCCACATTCAAACTTGCAGGACCTATGATGGAAGGCTGTAGAACGCTAACGATGCTCTTATCATGGCAGATGCGCAAGAAACTTTTGACGGCTTGCTACCGAGTTCATTCGCATGCAACACCTAAGTGGGGAACCTTTACTGATCAAGCTATTGAGAGTGGTGGTGGAAAAATTGGTCCACAGATTGAGACACAAAGATCTTCTCTCAACGCATTAGATACTTGATCACCCTCTCGACGGTCTCATGCTGGGCCCCTCGTGATCTCCCGATCCCTGATTGGTTGCAACGGACGCTGCAGTAAAACGCTCTGCGTCAGGCTTTTTTCGTTGTACGCTTACTTAGTGTCTCCCTTCGTTTGCTAGTAAATGCTGCATGATGGGTTCAGGCAGATTCCGATGGACGTCAGACGGAGTCAGAACGCAAAGACCCATGACAAGACCCCCTTCTTTCTAGCAGTGCAATGACCTTGAGACAAACAAAACACTGAATCTGTCGGCAAGTCAGAGCCGAGCCATGGTTCTGGGGCAGATTCCACCGAGTATTCAGGTTCAGATGCCAGCCAGGATCGTTATTAAACATCGACAGGACTCATTCACAAGGTACTTTTGCCGTACAGAATTTTTGAGTCCGGATAAGCTCACAGTGTTGAAGGCCAGCGTCCTCTGGTCGCCGACATATTGCAGGAAGCTGACAAGCTGCGTGTACGGGATGCGAACGGTGTTCCCTGCACAGCAGAAAACGGATCCGAAATCGAGTTAGTCACTCTCAATCACTCAGATTCAGCTAGGATGTGCTGTCATGAACTGCCTTCAGTATGGGTCCCATAAAGAACCAAACGAGAGATTCTTATAGCAAGCATCCGAAAGCAAACCCGGGTGGAACTCCGAATTCTGTGGTGCTGACGATGTGCCAGCTGCTGAGATCAAAAACCCGTCAAGCAATAAGACATGACTCCACCAATGGTTGAGCCGCAGTCGAGCAGCGAAGCTGGTTGCAAGCAGCAAGGTACAACCGGTAGCGTCGGAGTCTCGAGCAAGCGCGTAAGAGTGTTTCGGAGTCTTTGAAAGGGCATGTCCGGAAAGTGCAAAGCTGTCCTCATCAAACCGACTCCACTGCTAAGACATAAAAGCTCGCTCTAGTAAGGCGCTCAGATGAGGCTTCAAGGGCCTAATCTAGATCGTCCGATTCAGAGCATCTTCATTTAGGCAGGCAGAACTGACGCCAGCTGCCCCAAGCGCATCAAGCAGACCAGAAAAAGATGCTAACGTTGCCGTTTTTTTTTCCAGTGATCCAGGCCCTCAACAATGAGACGCACCCCCTTCAGACACCGATTGACCAAAATAAGCTCGCACTCAAATGGACGAATTATAAATACACGTCTCGCTCACCCATCATGAACCAATCAACTCCCTCGCTGCAAGGCGGCGTAGTCAGCGAACCCGCGTAGTGGAAGTACGATCGGCTATCCGCCTGCAGGAAGAAAGTATTTAGTCAGAATATATGTACGATCACGATGCACAAAAACCAGCCCCCCTGAACAATCGAACTCACAAGGCGAAGTGTACCTTCTAGCCTGATGATGATGTTAGCAAGGAATTGCTGAACGAACGCTGTTTGATCATTAGCCAGGTCGCACGGGTGCCATAAAGACAAGGGGCACATGTTTACCCTGCCCTGAGTCCCTTCTTTTGAGACGATGTTGTGTATTGTTGCTCTGCATCTATTCATCATGAGACGGCATAACATGACAGGGGGGGTTGACAGGACAAGGCTTTGTCAACAGCAGGGAATTGCAACAGCAAGGCACAACGAACTTCTTTCCACCCTGAAAGCAGGTGCTTGAGTTCTGACGTCAGTAACAACGATCTCAGCTGACATAAATAATTACTCTTGGATAGAGCCACTTACGTCGCTGACAACTGGGAGGAGGTCTTCAGCAGAGACTTTCACGTTGATGCAAGTGGGGGCGCAGACTGCCGCAGGCCTGCAATCAACGGGATTTTGAGCATTCAGCTTTCCAAAGGCTTTAAAGCAAAGGACATCTGTTTGAGATTGTGTAACTGCACGCCCAGGATTCGTACAATCATCTTGAAGGCTCGGAAGCTATCATGTACATTTACTGAGCAGAAGAAGAGCACCTTTTCATCAACTGCTGCTTGCACTGCCAGACTTTGCAGTAAACTGACTACAACTCTACAAGGTTTATGCAAATCAAAGGTATATTTGTCACTTCACAAGATGGATGCTCCCTGACCCCAATTGGGGAATGGAAAAGAAAGGAAGCACGCACTGTCAGTCGTCAGAAAGCACAGGAGTTACTTCTACTACATGGAACCTACGAACAGCCGAGGGTCAAAACAGCCTAAAAGGGTGTCCAATGAAAGCCATGCACATGTCAATGCGGTCTGCAGGTGATTGAGGTGCCTCCCCAAACAAGAGCAGATTTTGCAAAGCTTACTTCATAGCTCCGTGCTCGCGGGGAGCAAGTTGAAGTGCTGCTTCAAGGGCCGGGTTGAAGAGGGCCTCCACGTCCGGAACGGCCTGGAGGAGCGTCCTGTAGCATAACCCAAGAATGTCATGACATTGAATATGTTTCCTTTATTGAAAGTATATCTTGGTGTTTGAAAAAGCGAACGACGTTTATGGAGATTCTGAAGAAGATCCGCAGTTGACGGGCAAGCTCAAAGAAATGCCGCATATAAGCAGCGATGCATGAGCGAAAGGTCAAGAGAAGCCCTGCCTCTATTAAAAGTGATTGGACAGAAGATGGCTGCCGGCACCTGCTCACTCACAACAGAGGCTGTTTTACCAAATCAGATGGGAGGACAGGACTCACCCAACAACAGCTAGGGTCCCGGTTTCACGATCCTCTGCACAAAGCGGACTGCTGAGTCAGCCATAGCAGCGACGTACGCACAACAATGATTGCAAAGACAGACCCTGTGTTCAACCACCACACAACCTGTTTGCTGAGACAATTCTTCCATGTGAAGCCTGTTGATGTGCTTCATCTGATATGAATTGGGAGAAGACAAGGAGTCCTGCATCTGACCAGCAGGCGCAAGAGCTCCTTAACACCTCCAGAGTAAAATGCCCGTTTGCTGCAAACTCAGGCCTGCTCTCATGAACAGGTGGTAAGATGGATAGTGTATGATAGGTCACAGACAGCTCACTGTGCACCATGTGCGCCTCCATATCAAACCGCTCTCCGTCAACAGCGTGCTCGCTGGGGCTGTGGAAGTGGAACTGGAGGAGGTCCAGCGTCCTTTTTCCCACTCTCAATGTGCTGCTCCCGGCCGGAAAGTTGACCTGGACGGGGAGGAAAGAACGTCACTGAGCGCATCGTGATGAGACTGCTACGCCACTGATGTGATGTCATCCGAGGTTCAGTGACCGCATCATGGTGGATCCCTAAGCATACGAGCGCGCAGGTTGGAAGTGCACATGGCCGAACGGTGGCGCACATTAGCCAGGTAGTTCTTCGCTTCGGATCATCTTGAGAGAATTCAGGTAAGACTTAGGAGGCATGTGCTGAGAGGCGATCGAAACTCCTGGTGAGCTTCCAGGGTGAGAATAACATTGCACGTCAATTTCCGTCTCCTTTTTGAAAGCAGCGATTCAACAAACAGGGGAAGCCAAACACGACAGCAAGCTGAGAGTCCGGAAAACTACACTGAAGATTCCTGCATTTGGTAACGCTGCAGTCAACCTGGAGGGAAGGTGCAGTCGCTTGCATGCTTCTTCTTTCTGGCAGGTTGCTAACTCTCCTGGCCACCTCTTGACACTATATCCATTGAGGTCATTGTGACCCATTGAGTGCCTTCGTAAGCAACAAAACACCAGGGAATGTAATCTGAAGCTGACGACAGAAATGCAGGTCTTGCTTACCTGCATTGTGCCGTGTCCCGTGTTTAGAATGTTGACGTCAGCGGCATGGTAGTCGAACTGCAGCTTGCCGAATGTGTCAGGCCTGTATGAAGTGCCTTTCACAGGCATGTCGATCGGCGACTGCTGTCTCCCTAGTATACAAAAGCCACCCCATCTCAGCGGCCCCGCAGGCCCGCCATAGCCCCACTCTGCAGCTGATGCGTGTTGCAAGTCTGAACAGAGAGGGCACAATGCTGCCGCCATCAGGCCTTTGGTAAGCAGACTCCTCCTTCCCTGGTGGTTCACTCTTTCCCGACTAATGAGAGGTGCTCGCTTCTTGGATGCCTCATCCCTTGCTTCTGAAGGTGTTACTAGCTTGAGGTCCTTCGTTTGCATGGCTGCATTGTCCTTTCTCTCCTGGCTTTGTAGCGGCTTCTCAGTGGCAGCGGCCTTCTGTGGTGCTCTCTGAGCAGATGGAGTGGGTACGGGACCTGCATTGTGCAGACTAGCTTGGATCCTTCCAGTGTGCTGGTGGTTGTTTGAGGGCTGTCGAACCAAGTGCCCGGGCCAGTAGAACTGTGACTTCACCAGGGCAGCCGCCATGGCTGGGGGCCCGTCTAGCGTAAGCTACGACGATAGATGGTGCCAAATCAAACCCACATTGACTCGTAAAAGGTCTCTTCCAGGTTGTTGCAGGTGGAAGGGAGACTCATGCAACCACAAAGAAGGCGAATGCGGCACCTTCGGAAAGAGTCCCTTTCCAGAGAGGAGTCACAGCCAGTCACAGCCTCAAAAGCTGCACTTTCTGCCACTCCTGTGTTGCTTTTTGCTGTAAAGTGGGAACCGCATTCTGAACCACAATCTCAAACCCGGTTTCGCAGACACGAGCAGGCTGCGTGTGGCCTGACTTGAATCATACCAGGATGTACCTTACCTTCTTCCGAGTAATCTCGACCGTACAAAAGGATCGTACGGCTCCGGGAACACGTTCTTCGACCAACGGTCATCAGATTTCTGGGTTAAGTTGACTGGTTTGGTGACCGGTGACGTGACTGTAATACCATGTAGGCTAGAGTCTAGACCATGTGCACCGGCCAGTCACTGTCTACCCTGACCGTACAGACATGAAAATCTGACGTAGGTACCTACCTATTTTGAGAGGATGAGAGCCTCTGCCATTGAATGGCCACGCAGATGACAAGGGTCGTATAAAATTTCAAGTCGCATCCGATCAGACAACAACTTAAACAACTATTCTAGCTTGCAATGTGGATAGCAGCATCATAGCTAGCATCATAGCTTCAAGCTGAGCCTCATGGAAGGTGCATGGAAGGCCATAAGTTCTCCATTTGTTGCTGAGGTCAAAACGCGCACCATAGGATCCGCGTGTACGCGTGATATGAGTAGAAGGATCAAACCCTCAGAATTGTATGCTCAATGATGCATGAAAGACTCGCTCTTCAATCAGGCCGCGTGCGAAGAAATAAAAAGACCAGCTTGAGACATGGTCACGAACAACGTCATATGCTCTTGCCAGACTCGTTTGAATATCCCTATGAATACCTTGCAAGATCGAAAAGCCATTCAATCAACATGAATAATATTCTATACTTATTCTATATGCTTGCAAATTATGGCGGGTATGATGAGCAGTAGTATATGTACGTTGCATGCATACGAAAGATTCCCTTGCGATCCACGATGAGGCACCATCATGTGATCGGAGTCGGCCCCGGCAGCTATGTAGTAGTCACTCTTGTCGACATGAGGATTATGATACGGAAGCTACCACATGTTGGCAATTATCAATGAAGAAGAGACTAACAATGTCGGATCGAGACCCATAGTACCCGGCTTTTCTTATCCCATCCAACTGGCATGCCCCTGAGCAGGTGGCCAATGAAATTATCCAACGATCCAGCAGGCTCACGCCATGATGTTCAAATTTTGGGATGAGTCCGTGGTTGGCCCGATATAAGTGAACCGCAACCGCGTCCGACCGGCCATATATATGAGACAACTTGAATCTGGTTCGTGTCCAATTGTTAATTAATACGATCTTAAGGTAGTACGTCATGCATGCAGTGATCGACCGACATTCGAGGACCAGCCAAGCTTAAAGTTACTTGCACTCAACATGAATTGGCCCTTCAACTTTGCATGCAGCAAAGATAACGTAAGGTTTAGAAGCCCGTGATTAAGAAAAAATACCACAGCGTGTAAGTTCATGATATAAGAGCGTCGGACCTTGACTATGATGGTACATTGCTGCCATCATTTAGTTAGCATGCCAGTTGTGCGGGTTCCAAATTTCTTGAAGCCCAAAATACATGCACTTAACTTAATTGTTGTTGCTTCACTACCGTCGTACTTGACTACCGTCATTCTCAAGTACTCTAGTGTCTGGTTTTGTAGCAGAAGCTGACGGTCATCTTCACGGGTCTGACAACCACTGAGCTCCCACCATCTAGGTCACGATACTTAACGTCTCTACTGTAATTGGATTTTCCAGGATACAGTCGGTACACAATCCACTATACTTATTGAGGGTGCGGTGGGCACTTCGTATCATTGTCACGCGTATGATATCCTCCTAGGCTTAAACACCTAACACCATAACGTGCCTTGTAAGCTTGATTACGGTTGCAACTAGTGAAAAGGCGACCTTGTCTTCAATGCAAACGGTTGCGCTACTAGCAATCAACACATGACAATAAATCTAGGTCACAGTCCGCTTTCGTGGACTTCTGGGGCTAGAATCTAGTAGGCACAATCTTATCTTCCCTCGTATAACCTGCTCTCTTGCAACCGTGTGAACATCACATTTGGCGGCTGAGTCAAAAACTCTCCACTCCCCTCCTGCCGCGTGCCTGAACTGCGACCATCGGATGCCCTTGAGGACCTTAGATCCCCACCCCTTGATCGCGGATTGGCGCTCCCCATGCTCGACCTCGTGACGTCCCTCATCGTCCGTGCTGACGTAGGGAACCCCGCTGACGTGGCATACCCCGAGCTCCCGCTTGATCTAGTTCCTTCCGACCCCTGTGCGGAGGAGTTGTACGAAAAGTGGCTCAGATCCAACGGCGCCGGTTCCTCCTCGTTGTACGCTGGCTCGAAAGCCGTCGATTGCTCGGCATCGGACGCCACCAGCCGTTCAATCGCACGAACGACTTCCGACATGGGCGGACGCGCGGACGCTTGCCGGGAGAGCATGCGTCCGATGAGCGCACAGAGCGTCGCCAAATCTTCGACGTTATAGTCTCCCATGCGCGGGTCGACGAGAGGGGTGTACCGCTTCTCGTGTAGGAACGGGCGGGCCTGGAAAGAGACGGAGCTTTGCCGTGAGCAGTTTTACAAGGGCAGCAATTTTCGACAAAGGATTCCGCTCAGGAAAGACGGATGAGGCGTTGCAGAAAACGGCAGTCAAGGGCAGGGAGCTTGGGGATGCGTGCTTCCATCTTCTGAGAGGCTTGGCTTTATATTCAGTGCCCGTGTCCCTCTCGCCGCTTCTCCGTCCGGAAATGAAGGGCCTGGATCAGAACCCTACTTTGCACTGTTCTCCAGTCAGCTGTGCTCTTGAAGAGAAGTGTCGAGTCGCAACAAGGCACTCAGTTGTGTAAAGAGCCTTCTACTTTGCAAGTTACATGTATACCGAACGCACCGTTCCCCAAAAGGTCAACGAGCGGGCCAGAAGGGAAGACAACGGATGTTTTAAGGTTTGCACGTGGGAATCAACAGAACACGCCGTGCCAATCCAATAACAGAAACAAGAAGGACATGAAAAGATGAACGGGAGGAGCTGTTGAGAAAGGGTTTTGACAGACCGCGGACTTTCCCAATCTAATCAAACCGCAGACAAAGAGCAGCAGATGAGAACGCGGGCAGACGTAGGACGACAGCCGTTGGAATGATGGCGGAATTCCGGTCCACTATCTTCCACTGAAGACCACTTTGAATCAAAAGGTGCGCAAACCCTCACCCATTCCACGAGGCTCCACTCTGCTTGCGGCCGAGTGAGATCGACCGCCAGTCTTCCCGACACCAGTTGCAGAAGCACCACGCCGAAAGAATACACGTCGCTCTTCTTGGTTAGGGGCTGACCGGCCGCATAGTTAGGGTCGATATAACCTGCACAGAAAGGGGACAGGTCGTGAGTTGATTGTTACTTTAAAAGGGCGTACAAAGAAACGGCAAATGTAAAGCTTGCCTGCGGCCGTTTCTTGTCGCTGCGAATCACACGGACTTGATATCGGGGCTGATGAGCTTGACATCGGGGCTGACATGGCTGCCTTTGAACGCCCGAAGAGGAATGTGCGAGTCGAAAAGATTGATCCAAGTGACCTTGCGGCGACACCTCAAGTACAGACGTCGACTGTGTGTCGCTGCGACTCCAACGGCAAGTGGCCTTACAGACGACACGAAAGGCGTATCTCCGGTCACTGAGTCACGTCCGCCGAAACCGCTTTGACATTTTTTTAGAGGATATTCGCATTTTGAATTTCCTTAGGAGGTTTACGGTTCTGCAAACTAGCGTGCACCGAGAGTTTCTCAAGTCGCAAACCATGACGCTCGTTTACTGGACTGGAACGCCGGACTGTGGTGCCACCTTAGTGAGTCAAGACTTTCTACAGCGGGCGTTCGAACACAGATGAAGGACCGGACATGTCCAAGACCAGACCGATTCGCATGTTTGCACACCGAAAGTCGCTTTCAACGCCGGACATAGTCCGTCTGCTCGGGTGCGGCAGGCGCAATAGCTCAAGGTCGTCGCCTTTGGAGCACCGTTGCTGAGTGAAATTCGAAGGGAAAGAGCAAGGGCTCAGAACTTCAGGCTTGACGAAACCTAGGAGTTTTTGCGCAAAAGCTTACCAAAAGTCCCCTTCACGCCGGACATAGTCATCGTCTGAGCCGTTGGCGTCAGGCGCGAGAGCCCAAAGTCGGCCACCTTGGCGCTAAAGTCCGCATCCAGCAGAATGTTGTCGCTCTTTACGTCCCGGTGCACGATCGGAGGGTCCGCCCAATTGTGCAGATAGTCGAGCCCCCGCGCGGAGCCGAGGGCGACCATAAGGCGGGACTGCCAGGAGAGGGTCGCCCTTTCCGCTGCAAAAAGACGTGCATGTTTCAAGGCGTCCAGAATACTGCTTTGCTCCTATCCAAAAGGCATCTTTGGATCCGTCCGACTGTATGCTGGTAGTCGAGGCCCTGCGCGGAACCGAGGGCGACCATAAGGCGGGATTGTCAGAAGAGGGTCGCCCTTACCGCTGCAGAAATTACGTGGACGTATTGAAGAGTTCTCTGAAGTCTAACTCTGCCCCGTCTGTCCCTGTTTGCTTGAAAAATATTCTGAGAGATGCCCACTTGTGTAGATAATTGAGTCCCTGGGCGAAATCAGGGGCGACCGTAGGCGGGACTGCCAAGAAAGGGTCGCTTTTTCCGCTGCAAAGAGAGACACCTACGTTCGAAACATCTGCAGAATACTATCGTTAGCATCCTGCTTCGTTCTGCTCGGAGTACTATGGACTTGCCCCAACAGTGCAGGTAGTCGAACCCCCGGGCGGAGCTGGGGGCGACTGCGAGACGGGACTGTCAGGAAAGGGTCGCCTTCTCGGCTGAAAAGAACGAGCATTTCAAGGCTCTGTTCCGCTTCTCTTTCTAAGCCGCTCGTTCCTTGCTCAACTCTGACCGTCAACAGACAGAAGGCAAAGGGAGGCCTGGTCAACCTTTGAATCGGAGGCGGCCTGGTTTGTGCGTGGGAGTCCTTTGAATCCGTGAGCACATTGAATCTGACATCACGGGAGAAACTGCCAATCAAGGTGTGGGACCTGAAGCTGCTCGAGGCAGTTGGCGATTTTAGAAAATCGTGTCAAAATGCGTTCCTAGGCGGTGCGAGGTGCTGGTCGCAAAGCGCCAGCAACTCGCCAACATCGAAAAGCGCGCTCACGGTTGAGTTGTTCGGTGATTGCCCCGTTGGCCAACAACTCGTACACCAGCATCTGCGCGGCTATCCTCGAATCCGGAATAGCACATCTGAAAAGACGCAAAAAGGACCATAACCAGCAAAAAGTGCGCTCACGCTTCAAGTGTTCGGCGATGGCTCCGTTGCCATGCACTCGTAGACCGTCTGCGCGACAATCCCCGAACCCGGACTGGGACAGTACAAAAACACGCAAAAAGGACCATAACCAGGGACACACTAAACAAAGAACACGTAGAGCGCGCTTACCTTTGAAGTGTTCGGTAATTGCCCCGTTGGCCATAAATTCGTAGACCAGCATCTGTTCATCGTCGTCGTCGCAAAAACCGAGGAGTCCAACCAAGTGCCGGTGGTGAAGGCGGCTCAGGAGCTCCACCTGAAAAGCAGAAACCGGGGTTCAGATTCTGAACGATTGCGGAAGTGTTCTACTTTAGTTCTGTTTTGTAAAGCCGAACTCCCGATGTGCCGGAATAAGTCGGCTCAGAAGCTCCACGTGGCAGGTAGAATCTGTGGAACCGCGTTAATCAACGTGCAATTTAAACGTTTCGAAGCACTTCTCAGGAATCGTAAGTGCTGAATCCGCGCCTGGCCAACGAGAAACCATATGCAACGGGTAGCAGAATGTGGAAAGCTGGACCAGGCGTCTCAAATCCAGCTGACAAAGCGAGGGGGCGCAAGGTAACCTTACATTAAAGAGAGTCTTCTCGCCTTCCTTGGCGTGTACACTACTTCGGAGCTGATTTCCAAGTTGCGCGCACGTGCCTGACTGCTGAGAAAGAGAGTCGAAACGCAGCAGAAAGACGAATCACCCTTCCCGAAAGCAGCCCAAAACAGATCGAAGCCCCAAAACTCTCCCGCTAAATTCCCTCACCTCATTGCGGAACTGTCTGTAGTCCTTTTGCCCTTGCCCCGACCGCTTCACCGCAATCTCTTTCCCGCTAGGCAGAACGCCCCGGTACACTGTCCCGAAACCACCGGCGCCCAGCTTGTGGGCAGAATCAAAGTCATTGGTAGCCTGCCTGAGTTCCTGCAAAAGAAAAGAACGTTTGTTCATCCTCTCTGAAGCATTTGTTCACTGGAAGTCGGAAAGGGGTTACCTCTTTGGGGCGCAAGAGAAGAACGTCTGTTTGTTTTGTTCTTTCTAAAGCACGGGGGATGGGAAAAAGAGTCGCCTCTCTAAGTTCCTGCACTAGAGAAGACCGTCCGTCTGTCCTTTTTGAATTATTGCAATATGAGGAAAGGGTTGCCTGTTACAGTTACTGCGCTAAAAAAGTACGTCCATTTATCTCTTCTGAAGCCTTGGTATGTTGCAGTTCGGGAGTCCATTGGGAAGTGGGAAAGGGTCGCCTCTCTTAAGTTCCTGCGCAAAAGAAAAGCTGATCTGGTCCATTGGAAATCGGAGAAAGGGTCGCCTGTCTTAATTCCTGCACAAGGAAAGAACGTGTTTTTGTGCCTTCCGAAGCATTGGTCCATTGAAAAGGAAAGAAAAGGTCGCCTTTCTGAGTTTCAGCACAGCAGAAAATCGTATTTTGATTATTTCTTGGTCCGTTGAGATTCAGGGAAAGGGTCCGTGTTTGACTTTCTGCACAAGAAAAGACCGTCCGGTTACCTCGTCTAAGGCATTGACCCTTTAAGAATTGTACAACTTTCATGTCTGTGAGTTCCTGCACAAAAGAAGAAACGTTATTTTGTACCTATTGAAGCAAAGTCCACTGGATATCGAGGAAAAGGTCACCTCTTTTGAATCTTGCAGAAGACTTGCATCTCCAGAAAAGTGTGCATACAGTAGATGAGAGAGGACTCACTTCTTGTTGGATAACCTTTTCTGTATGCGGAGACTCACGTCAAATTGAGCCGTTTAAACATCCATCTAAAAACCTTTCGCATCCCACAGCGGCAACATAGACAGTATACAGAACCAAGCAAGCTCCGTCTGCTTTGCGAAAAGCTGTTTTTAAAGCACAGAAACTCAAACACGCAAACGGTTGAAATCTCAACATCTCTCCGCGACTTGGAACAACGATATACAAACAGAGTCTTCTTCAATCTCGAAGTCGGACAAAACAGACCCCTTCAGTGACCCTTGAGGGTTAATTACTAACCTGGAGCGAGTAAGGGCGAACCCGCGAACTGCCAGCCGTCGTTCCGGTTTCCCGGCTCCCTCGGGAAGAGGTGCTCCCCCCCGAAACGGGGTAAGCGCTCGCAGAAGCGCCTGTCTGCCCTAAGGAGGCACGGGGGGTCTGGCTTGAGTGGGGGCGATTGGATGCACGAGAGCTGCGGAAACCTGCGGCAGGGGAGAGGGGAGGAGCCGTGAGCCAGCAGACAACGTTTGATTCAAGAGGTCGCATGCCTCTCGTCGGTTTGAGTAGCGAGTGTTCTTGGGCTTGCTAAAGCACATTTGAATCTACACAAGGACTGGCCTTGAAGAGGCAAGCGGGGGTCTTTAAGGGCAATACGGGCAAAAGGTCTAGACCGACATTGTAGATTGTAAGAGAGGCCTTCACCCCGATCACTCAAAGGGAGAGGAAACAAAAGGTCGCTTTCCGTGACAACAACAAAGGCTTCAACTTAATATCAATAACACAAACTTGAGAGGGGAAAATTAGGTTGAGTCCACATCTCGAGCTGCTTTCATCAGCCAAGCAGACTCTACACTTTTTAAGTTGGCGCTCAAGTCCAGTAGATACGAGTTTTTGCTTCACAAAGTAGCGTAGCCGTATCTGCAGCCCCTCCGACAAGGTACAACATGTTGATCCAGTTCGGCAGGTCAATAACCTCCAGAGTACCCCAAACAACTGGTGTAGATTTTGATGGATCATGAACAGAAAAGGAAAGGTAAATAGTATAAAATGAGTCGCATCTCAGCCTGCTTCAGTTAGCAGATAGTCTCTGATTTCGATTGCACTCCCAAGTTGACGCTCAAGTCAAGAAGGTTCAACTTTTTCAATCGTGGAAAAGCGTAGCCATATCAGCAGCCCCACTGAACTGATACAATATTTTAATTGGAGTGCGGCAAGTCAACAACAACCTGAGTGCCAAAAACAAACTGCTTTGGAAATTCGAGGGACTACGAACAAATGTGAAACTCCCAACCAACAATTTACTTCTTTCAACTGTCCAGTTTGTCGAATGCCCTTTCCTCCAGGGATCCCTCCATTGCAAAGACGAATCTCTGAGAACAAGATGAGATTGGAAACCTATAAACGAGATTGCAGAACGTCAAAGATAAGCCCACCTCCATTCATCTCATACAGCGGCAGCACCGGCCCCTGTCCGCTGCCAAAGGAATCCCCCTTCAGCGAGAGGCCCTGTTCATCCCGCCTGTCGCTTCTCTTCCTTCTATTCAGGCAGCAGCAGAGAACGAGGCCAAGAGCAACAAGGCCCAAAACTCCCGCGCCCCCTCCAGCGGCCACCGGGACAATCCAGCTTGAACTCTTGCTTTTCGTATTTGTCGCCGAAACCGGATTCGCGTTTGAGGGGGTCGCGCCGACTGCAGAACCTGGGGGGGTGGAAGGCGTGACGGTGACGACCGGGGGGGTGGTTACGGGGGGGGTTAGAGACGGGGTTACGGTGGTTCCGGAAGGGACAACTGACGTTGGTGTGACAGGTGTCGTAACAGGTGTGGTAGGTGCAACCGTGGCCGCGGGCGGAATGGTTAGCGGCGGGGTTAGCGGCGGGGTTAGTGTCGAAGGCAGTGTTGCGGCAGGGGGAACAAAGGGCGCGTTAGGCGCGAGTGTTGTGGGGATGGTAACCTTAGGAATGGGCGCCGCGGTGCTTATTACGGGGGCAATTGTCGGTGCTTTGGTTAAGGGGGCAGTCGTGGCTATGGGAGCGAGGGTCGGGGCTGGAGTAATGGGGCTCAAAGTTGGCGCTAATGTGATCGGAGCGAGAGTTGGGGTTAGGGTTACGGGGGGATTTGTGACGGGAGAAAGGGTTGAGGGAGCGCTCGTAACAGGGGGAAGCGTTGCAGGCGGAATTGTGACGGGGGGGAGTGTTGCGAGGGGGAATTGTAGCAGG